AAACTCTTTAATTTCAAAACAGTGAAAGTGTGGTTTCCCATATTATTTTATTGCCATGTTCTTTAGGGTCTAATTTCCACCATTCAGACTTAAGCTGGAATCAAATGAACTCTCTGAGAGGTAATTCAACATGGGTTACTTCACTGTACAGTAAAAAATGAAACAAGGAAATAAGAACACGTAAAGCCCCTCTCCGTGAGAAACACGAGATCTCTTTCATACCTATTGCACAAGAAGAGATGAATCCATATCCACTCAGTCCAGTCACATGGACTCCATGAATGATTCACGTTCCTGCATGTCTATTCACAATCCCTGGCCTGCTCTCTGCTGGCTCCACAGCTGGAGAATGTCTAGCCGGTGGACTCTCTCTGTCCATACACATGTAATTAAAAGCACTCAGGCACACAAACAGGTTTCACTTCAGACATGCCCTTGATTAGAACCATGGGGGGAAGTATACTACGAGAGGGGAACACCCATGGCCTTGTGTAATTTCTGGGAACTAAAACAATGCCTTTTTTGTTCATTTTTAGTTGGTAGAATCATGCTTGAATATAAACTCTGCAAATATTACACTACTACTCCTATTTCATTGTTGGTATGTAGGTAGAACTCTGCCACTGGTTAGGCCCTCATGAGCTGAACTGAAGGTCATACACATATGAACTAACTACTAGCATAATAATGAAGAAACCATGGAATCAACCAATCACATTTTAATTTACAATGGTTGACCAATTCGGCCTTCTGGAGGTCCTAGAAACGTCACTGACTGCGAATGTGAGTGGTAGCATGTTAAATCGGTTTCAACTACATTTCAAAATGACATCCTCAAATTGGGCTAAAATGGGGTGCATCATAGCATCATGTATGCTTAACCCCTTAAAAAGCCAGGGCCTGCCAGTGTTATTACATGGATTTATTACACACTTATATGCCCTAAGAATTGTTCATCTAGTTTGCATTGCAATCCCTGTAGTTACTGAACAATAAGCTTTAGTATGTAAAAAGCCTGGGATTTTAAGGGGTTAACTAGAACTTGGTGCCCATCTCTTGAAGCATATTCAACGTAAAATGGATTCTTGACTAAGTTTCAGATTCACAAAACCTAGCAAATGCAACTGAAGTTAACTTGATTTACAACAACTTTCTCTGTGAACCTTGGTTCAGATTCAAGTGATGACTATGGTTGCGTGTCTGCAAATGAAAGCATGACATTTATGGTGAACAGCCAAATGCATGAAAGTCGTGCAACTTATTAACAATCATACTACATGAATATGTTGAAAGTACAGCATTTAGCATTTAGCATTTGGTCAGTGGCAGTGACAATTTAGTCACTGCCACTGACTAATAACTTAACATGCCCTGTAGCAGGTTAGGAGTGCAGCATGAGGCAGACCCCTGATGCAACAGGATGTTCTGATTTGTGATGTATTGACTCCACAGGTGCCCTTCCCTTCTTTACTCTCGGATGCCCCAGCCAACGTCAATCAGTTACACTGCCTGTTATTCACCACAAACCTTCCGACTGATGTGAACTCAATCTTTCCCAATCCCATGGGAATACAGTTGGAGAAACACAGCTGGAAGAAAGAAGGAAATCTGAACCGGCTATCATCCAAACCATCTGCTCTCTGCAGGCCCACACCATGAAATATCCGACTTTCAAGGAAGGTCTAGTTCTGAGAATGTGTATGCTGCCTGACCACGTTCTTGTGATGTAGCTTAACCTATAAAAGCTCATTAAGTTGTACACAATTGGACCTTCTGGTCACAAATGTGCTGAAATCTGCAAATAAGGAGGAGAAACACTTTACAGGAGAATGTTTAGTGCCTAAACAAGCAGCTTTTTTATGTGTTATTTTTTTCTTTTTAGAAAACAAATTACCAACCACAATTTGCACTTACGGCAACTAGAGAATTTGCTACTCTGATGTACAAAGTATTTTTTTTGTACTGCAGTCAACTGAATTTTCAAATTAAATGTGGCCTGAGTGTTTATTATGAAAAAGAGCAAATGATTTAAAGAGGCACCCTGGCTAAACTGAAAAACTGAATCATTGCTTTATCTGTTGTAAACATGCCTACTTGCCTTCTACAGTGGTGCCACAATAGTTTCTAGTGAGAGATTTTAAAGGTCGAAGACCAGAAAACCCCCCTTCTGATGATGTATTTTGAAGGTAGGAACTACAACTACAACAACTACTTTGGGGTCATTATATGAGGGCAGGTTGTTAGGAAGCCTGGAGATAGCTAAAGAAACTGCTATGAAACTGAACATCACATATGTATTTATTAGCCTCTACATCCGTGCTACATCAACGGATATCTTAAACACTTGGGGGGGGTGGAGTTGCATGCTGGGTATTGTCGTGAGAGAACACATAGACGAAAACATAAAAAAGATATAAAACTGTGCATTCTCTCAAACCAACAAGGCTGAGGCATACAATGCTCCACTCCATAATACTGTATAACATGACAAACAACATATTAAACTCTAGTTTTAGGCCAGAATGCCCCTTTATGGAGAAAACATAGTGGAGAGTCATAAATGACTAAAAAATGCATTGCTACAACGAAACACTCTTAACGTCCTACTGTTGCCCCATATTTTAGCTGAGGGGAAAAACACATTAATCGGACTGTAGTATAAACTTCGGATGTTCCGCGTACTGAATGAATCAGAAGAAGTGGGGGTAGGATTAGAGAGCTAAGCTTGCGAAAGGAGCTGGGATTTCCAGCACTTCCTAAAGTGCACCACAAAACAAGCTAACACACGCCACTGCTCCAAACGACAGGATAGAGACATCAAAGCGGATGTGAGGAACAGCAGTGGGTTACCAAAGCATCGTAGCTCAAAGAATGGTGTATGTCAGAGCAAATATTTCTCTGATCATGTGGTTTTCTATGATGTTTCTAAACTGCTCAGAGTTTTGGTCCTTCTCCCAAATATTTCTAAATCTGGCAGAATCAGTAATGGTCAGTGTTGAAGGATGATGGATTAGAGTGGCCAGTAGGTGCAATGTAGCTGCTGTTGTGTATGTTCAAAGGTCATTACTTTAGTTTTCCTCAGCTATGAGCACTGCTTGGCCTTTTAGCCCCTACATGTTGCACTTTTGCTGACAATAACAAAACCACATTGCAATATTATAAGTACAGAAATTACATCAAAGGTGCTGATTTTAAACGTTGCATACCACATTTATGTGTCTGAGTAGAAGAGAGTTTGAATTCCATGAAAAGTTATTGCAATGCATACAGCCTTGTCTTGCAAAAATGTTTTTGTTTTCATCATTTCTTGATCTCAGAATGGACGAAAAGTAAGAAGTGCAGGCTTAAATGTAATTCATTGTGTAACTATGTAATTCACTGTATAGTATTTAATTTACATTGTTACATAAATTTAAAGCATTAAAGAAACCTTCTGAAACTATGCTTAATGCCTTTTGCTTAATGCCAGTCTAAATGCTATTGTGATTTAACATATTAAGAAGGATATGCGATAGTTAATTCAGTTGACTACATGTTTTTGTGATTCATTTGAATGTTGTAATGTGTGTACAATACACACCAACCACCTCCCACCCTATATTATGCTGTTTTGGATCAATAAATGATGCTTTTACCATCACGGTTTTTACATCCAATCAATTTTAGATTTGTTTCTGTTGCTTCTTATTTCTGTTGCATTATGTGTGTGTGTGTGCATGCATATATGTGTCTGTGTACAGTGAGATATAAAAGTCTAGAGACGACTAGTGAAAATGCTCTTATGAAAGTAATTGAAAAAAGTAGCCTCTTTGAAATATTTACATGAATTTCAGATTTACTTAGTCTTTTGTTTGTTGTCGTTTTGGTTTACATCATGCACTTAAATCTTTTTCCCATCCAATCCAATTCTTTTTCTGCGAATTCTGAAATGCACATCAAAAACTGAAAGAAAAAGCCAGACATTAGAGAAAATGCCTAAAGATTGAAAAAACATATGTATGCCTGAAGACATCTTTAAAGCAGAGTGTCTGGTAATATATGGCATGTAATCCACAAGGTTCATTAGTCATGCATGACGTTTTGGTCAGTCACAGGCCCAGAAAATGTGTGGGTCAGCCCTTCCCTAACAGCCTGAGGGCAGCAGCATCTACTTCCCAATACAAAGGCAACAATCCCCTGTTATTTTCTGTTGCTATAGCCTGTAGTAATTCATTGTATCATGTCTAAATCCCATTAAAAACAATTAAAGGAACCCAAGGAGATCCAAGTAAACTGGATTAGAACAGATGCATTGTGCTGCTAAAGTTTCATAATTTTGTGGCAGCAGTATCAGCATAGAAAAGGGAAACATGTATTAATAAAATTAATGACTTAATTAATTAATTAAAAATAGATCAAAAGACAGCTAGTTTAGCTAGATTGATGGAATACAATCAGTCAATCTACCCCTTCTGTTTGAAATATCCTCTTTTTGCAAACACTTTCTAATCAGTGGCTAAGAGTAAAGTATGGAAGTGGTTTGTGGCCCTTTGACCCCTAAAGTCTCCTTAGGCATGTTAACCCCATGCTTACTAATCCTGTTAGTACTTTTCCGCCTATAATATTGGATGTCTGCGCTACGGGTTTGTTGAGTGTCATCTGCAATTTAAGGTTAAGTCTGCCAAAAATGCTAATTTACATTTTGCACGGTGCTTTGGAGAGAAAGAGTAGAAAAAACGCACCGTGATTGCCCCCTGGTGGTCGTCACACACCAGCATCATACTCTAACTGGATTTTTTTAAGCGTGTTTGATTCGTTCATTTTCGACGGTAAATAGCACTTATGTAACAGATATGTAATAAAAGATAATTAGCAGTGAATGTCATTTCTCCCAAACCACGATTCAGCAAATGAGGATGATAAATTTAGTCAGAAAGCCAACCAAAGAAGACTGTATGATGACGAGAACTACATTACCCACAATTCTAACAGAGGAAATACGTAAAGAGCAGACACGGGATTTCAAAACTGCAGGGCGACAGCTTTTGTTTTGTTGCCGGAAAAATATTATTGAATATAGGTCTTCCATGTGAGGATATTTATTTATCAGTGTGTTTCGGTAATATCCTCGGATGGCCAAATTCTCAGCGGTCCATTTTTTTGCAGAACTAGTAATGGCTAAGCTAAGGCTAACTGAGCCACAGCTAACTATTCTATCTAACTAACAGCTAATCTGGCCGTTAGTTCTCTCTTGAATGAATGAATCCCAAACGGATCAAATAGCGCTCTGCTGATTTTGAGAATAGTCGAGATAGTAAATAACCGAATATGCTTGACGAATAAATAACTGTTAATCAGGATTAATAGAAATTTGGGTTTAGCCCATGCTGTGGTTGCCAATGGCGACGTGGACGCTCAGCCCGCTCTGATTTATCTGAAGAAGCTGGACATTACTGGCCATGGTAAGAGTTACTTAGATTAAGTTTTTTATTGTCTCTCTTTACTTGACAGATTCTTGTTAAACATCAGATTCGCCCAATGTTATAGACTGGGACACCGGCTAACCTCTGTTCCTTCGTCCCTGAGAGGTTTGGTTACCATTAGCTACGACTTTACGTCGCAGCTGTGTAGTAAAAGTCCTTAAAGGGGACTTTTACTACACAGCTTAACTCCACCGATTTCTCAAAATCCATAAAATCCAGTCATTGAATAAACATAGTCCTTCTGAGTGGTTTGTTCTTAAATAGTTGATTGTAGGGAGAGTTCTCTACAGTGCTGGTGATGATAGGAACCAGTGATAGTGGTGATACTATTCGTATTCAGCTTGTCCTGATTGAATTTTTAATCACTACATTTATTGTAATAATTACAAGTATTTAATTGTGAATAAAAGTATGACATAAGTAAAAATATGAAATCACATATTTAGCATTTTTACTGCATATCCTGACCATACAGCTTATAATTAATGTTTTGAATTATACTTTTAAAACAATTTTATATTCATGTTAAATTCAAATATATTAGAGGCCACGATATTTGCCATTTATACAGAAAAACAGTGAAAATATTTTACTTGCTTACTGCAAGTATTAGAAAGACAAAGTCAATTCATATTAAATTGGCTGTAAAGAAAAATTGGTTAAAGCAGCATTTTGGAGACCTCTCTGGTAGAAATGTGTAATTGCATTTGCATCGTCAGTTGTGCTTTGGACTCCCACAAGCGGATGAATCTGGGTGAGTTGAAATAGTATTCAAAGGGAACTTGGTGCAGGACATTTCTTCTGATGATGCGAGTGAATTATCTCCTATTGTCATCATATGTTCATCAGTATATTGTTGAGTTTGTATTTGGGACCCAGGTGTCTAGCCTGACCTTCTTTTAGACTCTGTATGTGACCTTATTTTGCGAAGACTTTTAAGATGATGTGGTTTGAAAAACTGTGAAATCTGTCCCAACACTTCTGACTTTTAAATTATTAGTGCACGCTTCAGAGGAGGCACACTATATTTAAATGTTTACTATATAAAGTGTAAATAAAAAATGCAATGATATGCAAATCATTTATACACTGCATTTAATTGGAAATAGTACAAAGACAACATATCAAATGTTGAAACTTAAAAATGTTATTATTATAATTTTTTTTAAATATGCCCTTTTTTAGTTTTATGCCTGCAACACATTTCAAAAAAGTCAGGACAGGGGCAACAAAAGACTGATTAAGTTGTGTAATGCTAAAAAAATACCTGGTGGAACATCTCACAACTAATTAGCTTAATTGGCAACAGGTCAGTAACATGAATGGACATAAAACAGCATCCCAGAAAGGGAGTCTTTCAGAAGTAGTGCAACCATTTGAGAATAGTTTCTCAATGTAAAACAGCAAAGAACTCATCATCTAAGGTACATAACATCATTAAAAGATTCAGAAAATCCAGAAAAATCTCTGTATGCAAGGGACAAGGATGAAAACCTATATTGGCTGGTTGTGATCTTCGGGCCCTTAGGTGGCACTGCATTAAAAACAGACATGATTCTGTAGTGGAAATCAATATTTGTTACATAAAATTAAAAATACAACAAAGGAGACCCCAAACTGTTGAGCAGCTGAAATTCTGTATCGAGCAAGAATGGGAAAACATTTCTCTTTCAAAATTACAGCAGCTGGTCTCCTCGGTTCCTTAACTCTTACTGTGTTGGTGATGCAACACAGTGGTAAACGTGCCCCAGTCCCAACATTTTTAAAATGTGTTACTGGCATCCTATTCAAAATGGGCATATATTTAAAAAAAAATCAATCAATTTCTTAGTTTTAACATTTGATATGTTGTCTTTGTACTATTTTCCAATTAAAAATAGGGGTTAATTGATTTCCACATCATTGCTTTCTATTTCCATTTTGCACAGCATCCCAACTTTTTGGGAAACAGGGTTGTATATCAATCTTAAAGGTACAGTAACAAAAACAGCCTTTAAGTTTTAGAGATGAAGGGCGAAGTTATAAGTGGACCTCGGAGAACATAATAAAATACATAGGATATGGGCCCTTTAAGTGCTGAAGATTTGGAATACCACCACGGCTGTTTAACTTATTTTTATTAGGTTACTTAACCACATCAATGCAATGGCATGTCTTCAACCATTAATCTGGTTATAGCTACCTTAATATGAGAGTAGTTGGTTTGTAACATAAAGAAATCTAATGGCAACAAGTTTTGTTTGTCCAAACTTTTCTTTTTCTTCAATCCCTTTAGACTTCAAAACAGAAGAAGGGCCTGGGAGGTAAGTGCTTTAAACTCTGTGTCGTTTTGAAAAGCCTATTAATGTCTTTCAGATGTGCTAAGTCAAACATTTGCCTTGATTTTAGGGTCAATTGATGACGTATTGGGGGATCTCTTAGGAGACAGTGATGGTATGAGTCCTGAGTGTTATTACTATATAGTTTTTTGCGTGAAATGGTTGTACTGTTTGGTATAATTCTCCTCTAAAATGGATTTCCATTCACCCTGGCTGTGTAATTTTGTGCTTAATTTAACTGGAACTCAGTGAATAATATAACCAACCAAGTGCTTTTTGCTTTTTTGTCCTCTAGACCCACCCATGAAAACCAGATCTCCTGCTGCTGGACTCGGCCGGCCTACAGGGGTCCTACCGTCCCGCAGTGGCAAGAGGTGAAAATATATTTTTAACGTTCTCTAAATGGATAATAATTCTGGTTCTAAAATCTGGTTGGAGCTGCTGTAAAATACATATTTATATACACATTTGACTCTACATGTGAATTAAATTTTGTATGTTGAAAACTACTGAGTTTATTGTGATTAGCATAATAATGTGAAATTAAAATGTTTATTGAAGATTTGTGTACTTTTTCAAATGTATGTATTTAGTTTGTCACCATTTTATAAAACCAATATAACAGTGATTTTATCAAAGTTAAAGAGATTTTGTAATGCATGTCATGGCTTGTTGCTTAAGTTTACCAGTGCTGTCCTATACTGAAAATATCTAGGTCTTTGCTGGACGATGATTTCTTTAGTAAATTGGCAGAGGAGGCTGAGAAAGAAGATGAGGTGAGACATGTTATTCATTGACCCACTTATCCAATGCTGCTTTTTCTCCTACTCCAACTCCAAGGCTGTTTCTTCTGCATGGGCACATATTGTCTGTGCAGATTTACTTGGAGTTAACAGAGGCAAATAATGTAACCTGAAGAGATGAAAGCATTTGGGTTCTTAGAGAATAGTGAGCAACACTGCTGCCCACCACATGGAAAATTGAGGTTTGATTCCTTGTTCAGGGAATCAGACCACAGTATACTAACAGGAGTCCTTGGGCAAGACTCCCAATACTACATTCACCTACAGTACTGTGCAGAAGTCAGGGACCACCCTTCATTTATTTAATTTCCAGTCAAAACTGCCATTAAGTACAATTATTCATGTTTCAGAAGATATTACTGAGGACATTAAATACAAGATAAGAGTAAAGTCTTAGGAAAATAAGTGAATGACAGGAAACTGTGGATTAAAGATACAAAGAAAATGGGGCTCCTAACAACCATGCAAAACCTGGTAGACCACCAATGCTGTCACCATCAGATAAACAGTACTTAAGGCTTTCATCTTTGAGAGAGAGGAGAAAATCAAGCTCCACTCTTACTTCAGATCTGAAAAAAATGAAGACATAATAAAGACAAATACACAGTAAATACTGAAAAACATAATAGTATATTTGGTTGTTGGGACGTCTGTGTCATTTTCTATTAAATATTTATATTTTGTTTTTGTTTTTTTTCTGATGCAGAAAAAAATTATTATTTTGTTTCTTAATGGTCATTTTGACTAGAAATGAAATAAATCAAGGGTGGTCTCTGACTTTAGCACAATACTGTATCTCTGCAACATGATTAAATTGTAAGGGCGTCTGCCAAATGGTCTAAACGTGAATGTTACTTTTGTGTCTGCAGGCTTCTGATGTGTCCGAGGCAGATCCCAAGGCTTTGCTGGAGAGCATGAAGGTGACCAGCTCTTTGCTTTTCAGTGATTAAATTTCCAAAATCACTGAGGAGAGGTTTCTGTAAAAATCTAGACCTATACATACATTATCTCAGAATGTGTCTAGTTATTTTATCCTTTGGAAGTCACAATTACTGCAGGCAATATTAAAATCATGGTGTAATATTATACTAGGTATTTCTAACTTGTAGCTCATTGAAACAAGCAGAGAATTTCTATCAAACGTGCAGATTCTAAACATTCAGTCTAACATATTTTTGTTTGTAAGTGGAAGAGGAGGTATTTCATTATGGTTTGAATTTTGTGAAAAGTTACTGTTACTGAAATGTTTTTGTAATTGTTTGAAATTAAAACAAACAGAAAAAAGTTACAGAATGAAGATACAGAATGTAAATCAAATATATATGTAATGCATTATGTAACTAACTAATGCAATTAATTGTGTAAGTATGTAATTACATTGAAACAATATTGCAGGATGTTATAAATAACTCAAGACTTCTAAAGGTTCATTCTTACATCAGAAATGCCTGACATTTTTGTTGGTGTGACTGACATTTATAAATTAGTGGTTATGTTATGGTGGGTTTGTGCTGCCCTTCAGGACATGGATGACATGGATGCTGATCTCTTTGGCCCAAAGAGAAAGCCCAGCTCGGCCCCAGCTCAGAGTAAAACCTCTGGAGCAGTAGGATCCAAACATGGAGCAGCCAAATTAGAAGCTGAGGTCACAAGCAACCGTGAGTTAGCACTGACCAAGCCTGCGGCACACATCATGTTTTTATATCTTCAGACTTGTGGTTCTTTGGCATGTTTCTCCTACAGTGTCTCAGTGTTTGTCTCCATACAGAGCCAGTAGAGCCAGATGAGAGGAAGCCCAGCTCAGCTCCAGCAGCTACAGTTAGAGGCTACAAGAAATTTAGCTTCATGGGTGAGTGCATTCATCTCACACAGTATTTATACCTGATCTCACACCATCGTGCTTTTAGCCATCAGCATCATGCAAAACAAGGAGCAAACATAGGTACTGACTGTAGGGCTGAACAATAAATTGTTTTTGTGTCGAAATCACAATGTGAAGGAATGCAATTTTCCAACCACAAGAGCTGCGTTTTTTATTAAAACTAACATTATTCAATCTATTATTGTTCTTACCTTAAGTTTTAAGTTGGAAAATTTTACTTAAAAACACAAAGCTTATGAACTGGCAGTCTCACTACACACTACAAGGCACACTACATTCAACGCTACAGCCTCAAATCCAGATTGGAAAATGAATGTGCTGATCCTCTTAGTGAAAGAAGGCCTGGAGCCTAATTAATAAAAAGTCATAATTAATTATTAAGAAAAATCACAATTAGATATTTTCCACAAATCGTTCGGCTCTGGCTGACTGACAGCATCTAGGATAAAGGGGAAGTTTTGAAAATTGATTTTTTTTCACTTTAATAAAGCTCCATTAGGAATATCTCATGGCCTGGTGATAATGCACCAGGGGTGTTACAAGTGCAGTTCATGAAAATGGCCTCTCTTTGTTCATTTAATGCTGCAAAACTTCAGATGATGATGAAGCTGTTGAATCTCCACCTGCCAAACAAGGTATCAACACAAAAATACATTAGGTTACATTTAAAAAAAATAATAATAAATAATTTTTTTGGATGCCTAAGCAGGAACAAAAAAAAACTTGATTTTATGCATATTACATCTAAACAAAATAATTAAGAACTGCAATTTTAGCATTCAAGTATACTGTTGAAATGAAATTGTGGAAACTGTCTTTGTAGAATAAAAGAGTGAATTTTTGTCTTCACACAGATGACCTTGATTATCCTTTGGGTGACCTGCTGGATGATCTGGATCAGGAGCCAAAGAGGACTCTTTCAGGGAAAACAGAAAAGTCACCCTCACCTTCCCCATTAAGACAAAAGAAAGAGGACATAGGTCAGTACATTATTGTAGCCATTTTCCCTACAGGACTCATTAGCTCATGCTTGACTTGCACAGTTACAGTTATGACAAAACCTGGAGAGAAATTATGTAGTGTAAAAGAAAGGACAAGAGGGTGTTCAGTCATCTGTTAATCAAACAATCGCAATGGAGTGGGAAATGTATTGCCTGCATACTGCTGAAAAATCAGACAAGTCTAGCAAAGACGTATATTTATTCCATTAAATACAGTACAAACACCAGGCACAAACTGAGCAGATGTTTCAGCTTCTTGCTATCACTGGTGCTCGAAAATTGCCCAACCATCAGCCAATCATAAAATTGCTGGTGTGCTTTGATGAATGTGGCCCAAAGTATTTCTGACTGACTGTTATATCTCATTGGTAGCATCTCCTGCGCCTGTGTCTAAGAAACGAGAAGAGCTAACCTTCGATGATGATGAAGATGATTTGATGGATGCACTAGGATTCAGTGACAGCCTGAAAGTGAGAGGCAGTGCGCTCACCCCCAAAAAAGAGAGGTATAGTCTGACTTCCTATGCTATCCTATTGTACAATGAGAAGCAAAAATAATGGGTGAAACAGGTTTGTTTTGGGGTGTTTTGACTATTTGGGTGTATGTCAGGGGACTGATTTGATCAGTCTATAACTTTGTATCTTTTCTTTCCATTGAACTCCTTGGTTAAGTATGCAATATGCTTCAGGTCACTGTCTTGCTGCATTATGACTGCCTGAATGTGGAAAGACAAAATATTAATTTACACTTCAGAATTCATTCTGCTGCTGCAATCACCAGTTACATCATTAAAGACCAGTGAGCCGTTCTCAGAAACGGTCATGCATGGCCAATCCAGTCCTCTGTTTCTCTGCACTTTTCTACAAACGATCCCACATATTTACAGCTCTTTACAATTAAGGGAACAGGGAACATCTGAGCAGTCAGAATCAGTTGTCTTTCATTTGTCCCAATACTTATGGATATCTAAAATTGGGTTCACACAGCAAACAACAAAAAAACAGCATTATTTATGTTGTATGGAAAACATTGACCAGAAATAAAAGTCGACATAATTTCATGCTCATCTATTGATCTGGAACACATTTTCATGAATAGTATAAAAAGAACCCATTTCACCTGTTTCAGTATTATTGCTTCTCACTGTAAATAATCTATTAAACTTGAACCAAAAGCACCGAAAAAAAAAGAAAAGTCCAAATTTGAAAGATGTCTGAAATTGATGAGGGATGATGCTTGTAATAAGCTTCCAAATTTAAATTAGAGTATCACTAAAGCACCATAGCACAATAATCATTTTCAGATGGTCGCAAGAGAACCATATAAATACTTAAATACTTAAAAACCCACATACACAGTTTTCTGGAAGATTCTGACATTCTCCAATGTTTTCTTATTTGACGTTTGTTCTGAGGTAAGAACAGAATCTACACACACTCAAGAGCACAAAGGCATGAGCAGTTCTGTGGTTTAAGAACACGTCATGAATCTGACTTTTTCTTAGAACAAATTTAAGAAAAAAGGAAGGAAGATATTGGTGTATGAGGCTCATTGTTTGGTGAAAAATCTAATTTTCCCCTTATCCTTTATGACACTCTGCAATCTACTAAAATTGATGAACATATGTTGGATAGCTGAATACAGCAGTAACAGCCATACTGAAGTCTGAATTTTGTCTGTACTTTGGTTTGCTAACATTTTATATTTGAAACAACATGAGCAATACCATTTGAGGTTACTTAACAACGCGGCACAGTTTAAGGCAAGTTTGTGATGATTTATTGGTGAGGAATAAAACTCCATTACTTGTTAGCTACACTAGCCGTGTAGGTCCCTCACTGAACATGTCTGATGGGTTGCATTTAGAGTAATGGGGTTAATTATTGATTTAATCCCACAAGGCTGTTTAGGATAATGACCTCAGACTTGTAATGAGACCTGTATTTCCTGTGCAGTGAGGTTCCTCAGAGGGCACGCACCAGACTGGATGAGATTCTGGGAATCGGGACGTCTCCACGCCTGCTAGAGAGACCCGCCACTGGTGAGAAAAAAGACACAACACAGCCAGAAAGACCAGCGGAGAAAACATCAGAAAGATCCGCAGAGAGACAGCCCCAGAAAAGCTCAGCCGGCAAAGGTAACACCCAGTCATTCGTTTTTACTCTGGCCTGTTCTTTCTTTGTAAAGCTTAAGCTTATGACCATCTCCCATTTTTTGACTTTTTAATTATCATGAGATATTTCCTCACCACACTGAAATAACTGCGGTTATAATTTTTTTTTCCTTTGGGTTTTTTTTTTGTTTGTTTCTGTTTTGGTCATCCATGTCTGAATATAGACTCTGTGTTTGGTGAGGAAGATTTCACCTTTGGCTCATACCAGCCAACAGTTGTGTCAACCCCAGAGGGACGGCAGTCCCGCAGACAGTCTGTCCGGTGAGCAAACACACTCCTACACATTTATTTTACCGCTAATGTAATTTCTCTTTACTTTCTGTTTGCAATTTCCTCTTTTTTACCTCATCACAAAAATTACAATAGAATTGACCTTTTAGAATTAGCAGTTTTACCATTTGAATTTCTGTAAATTCCAGATTAAATTCTTAGGTGTTGCTGGAACTCTCTGCTTTCTACTTTTTGGTTCTATAATAATAAGGACTTTCCCATAACATATAACATTTTTGAACACTGCACTGCTGCAGTGTTCAAAAAAGTTTTCAATGTAATAAAAAGTCAATTAAACCACTAAGAGTTCAAGCTACATGGGAATGATATTGAAAGCTCACCTGAAGTCGCTGGCACCCACCAACAGAGAAGAATTATCGCAGAGTAGTTTTAAGGCTTTACTTCATTACTAAATACTTGGGTTGATGGACAGAAGATGTGATGCTGGGATAAACTGGTACTTTACCTTTTTGCAATACTCTAACAGTATTTATTATCAGCACATTTTGGGGCTGATTGTGACTGACAGAGGAAATATACAAATGCAACCTTTTCAAGCCATGCAAAATTAATTTCACCCATCATTGCAATATGAAATGAGTCAACGGAAAATTCAAAATGCAACACAAATGTAAGCTGCATTCTGATTATTGCAGCCAGAGGAGTTATAGGGGGCCTTAACCAAGCTTTCTTCTGTAGCGCGTACTCTATGTCCTTTCTCCTATAGCGATTCAGTAGCTGTACATGCTGCCGGCTTAATGTTTTTTCACCTATGCACCTATCGCTTGAAACGCTTTATGTGGGCCTACAAATGCCAATCAGACTTTTGAATGTGTGGTACGTAGCTTGTAGTCAAGTTCTGTCTGTGATCTGTATCTTTCTCCAGGTTCTCCACTGAAGATGTCAGCTCTCATTCTCCAGAACGCAGGACCAAGCCCTCCACCCCGTCCACCCCCACCTCCATACGACCTGCTCGGCCCGCATCAGACTGGCTCGGCCTCAAACAGGACGAAAACGAAAATGAAGAGGACGAGCAGAAGGACCAGATGAAAGAGTCTACAGGAGCAGCTGAGAGTCTAAAACCCCCTCCTTCTCCCTCACATGGGTCAGAGAAGCCCCCCAGCAGAGGAGGACAAACTTCCAAGCCTGCAGAGGTACTCAGAGCAGCAACATCCTCTCCAAAAACCTCCAAACCCACAGCGTCCAACATCCAGCTGCAGCTAGAAGAGGAGAAAACAGAGGAGGACTGGCTGGCTGGGGCACTCAGTAAGAGAAAAACTCAAACAGTTAAACACTCAGATGACAGAGAGAAGAGGCAGGAGGAGTCTCTGGGGCTCGGAGAGGAGATGGACTCATTCCTCAGGTATGGATGAACAGAAAGATGGACAGGTGGCTAGATCAAAAGAACACTTTAAACCCCAAAACTCAAAGGCTTCCTTTACACGGTGAAACTTTCATGCAACTAGACAGTTACACACAGCAATTCAGAAGCAAAGCTGCACACAGTTGATTACTCCAACTAGTTATTCAAATTAGCAGCTCATATTTATTGATATGCCACATCATTCTCGAGAGATGTAATTTATATATCTACATGTACAATTTACATGTTACACATCCAGCTGTGTAGATCAAGATAACAGAAGGCTAAAGAAGAATAAACGGCTCAAACAAAGGTTTCACAGTGTAAAACCAGCTTAAGATTCTATATGTGGATCCACAACTTCAGTTGCTCACTCTAATAACTACATAATTTACACATTACTTTCATAGCAATAATTGAATGTCTTAAGATTGATAACTGCAATATGATTGTTCAGTAAGGCTGGAGTTTAAGGGGCTGTGGGGCAATTTAGTCAATAATTTAAAATATTTTTCTCCTGCTTAAAGTTAAAAAAGTTTTATTATTTTGTATTAATTACTTCTCACTCATAGCTCCTTCTAGTTCTTCTAGGAAGAAGGATGCCGATGCTTGAGTTGTACTTAAAGCATGATATCCAAAATTCAGACACTAAAAAAAAAATCCAGTTTCCATTGTTTTATTTGTCAAAGCTGAAAAGCTGAGAAATCAAGCCTTCAGAATTCCGGAAAACACTAAAATTCCTGAAAACACTGGAATTTGTCATGTTCACAGTAAACGAAATGCCACCTCTACTCCACGCAGAAGACAGGAAGACACAGCCATGCCTCGCAGACAGCCCAGGTATCACAATACATCACCCTCACTGAAATCAGTGTAGCAAAAAATAATGTAACACTTTTTTAATGTAACACTACACCTTTGCTGGTGCATTTTGTCTGTTCCTATTTGCTCACAAACCAGAATATTGAGATAGATATGCTATAACTTAAAGTATTGTGATGTTACATCTTTGCCACATCATCCACCCTTACCCATTAATTGTGGAGTGATTTTAATCCAGTATGAATTTGCAGTGTGTCCATTTTTAAAGTCTAATACTATAAATGGCAGAGTAATTTTAATCCAGTATGAATCTACAGTGTGTGCAGTTTTTACAACCAAACATAGTGAATTTAATCCAGTATGAATCTGCAGTGAGTGTGTGTTTTTTAACAGTCTGTTAGTGTTAATTATGGGATGATGTTAAACCGGTGTGAATTTACAGTGTGTGAAGCCTATCTCTGGTCAGTGTGTTGATTTTTCTGCGCTCATATCCTACTAAACATGGTGACGAATTCCTGATGTATGTGTTTGAGGAGGAAAATCACCAATGTTAGGCCATGATTTTCTGCATCCTATTTTTTCTATGAATCTGTTGATTGAGGTTGTTTTTGTCTTTCCCATCAGCAGTGAATCTCTGGTTGTCTCTGGCAGACAGCAGAGCCCCACACCTGCTCCAGTCCCCAACACAGGAGTCCAGCACATGTCTGGTACGTTCACAGAATAGCACTGAATCACTGAGGCCAAGCACATATAGTCCATGTAATACTGATCCATGACTGAAAATAGTTGTAATGACCATCAATAGCTAAAATAAACATAGATAGATTTAATAGATTTAATATGCATAATTTGAGAAGGGATCTTCCTTTCAATGCAGTTAACTCCATAAACTGCAAGAGTCAAAATTGCACAGTTTTCTGCCTACCCCAGATGTAGTCGATTAGCCAATGTTTTCTGTCCAAATTTTCGTTCTTTAGTTTAGTGCTGGAGCTATGAGGCTAACATTGGTAACAAACATTTGAAGGCAACAGTCACCCATATTTTTCTGTACATACATCCCCAAAACTACTTTCTACCCACTTAAACTACATCCAGGTCTTCATTAAGTTTGCACAGACTTGTGTATGTGATTTAGAACACAGACAACTATGGGGTCCCTTGCAGAATCCAGGATGTCACAATATGGATGCCACAGATTACATTTGTGATTTCTGTTGTTTTGATTTATAAGTAACTGCTCAAGTTAAAATCTTCAAACTGTATACAGAAACAACAAAAATCACACATGTAATTTAGCAGAAGAAGAGTACTTTGCTTTTGAGAGGGATTCAGAGTTTGGAACAACCCGTTATCTAGAATTTTGCCTACGTACGGTCAGGTATTTTAGAGCTGTAGTAGTGTATGACCAGACTTATTTAGAGTAGGAATACTTAAATGGTACAGGATGATTGTAGTTACCCAATAATCCTGCTGTTCCACTTTCTTTTGCCATTGTGCTCTCTCAGCTACTCAGCATTCATACATCCAGGATCCTAGAGCTCACTCACAACAGGAAACACAGAGCCAAATGCCCCCATCCCATCCAACTGTGAGCTGGCATATGCCAACCACTGTGCCCAATGCAATGTGGTGTAGGTATTCTACATAGAGCAGGGGTAGGATTTAGAAATGATGTCTTTAGTACATCCGATTCATATTGTGAAATGTTGAATAGGGTGTGTTAGACTACACTTCGTAACGCTGTAGCCCTCCATGACTATAGATTTGTGTGACATTAGAGTTGTATGGTATTTTGTGTAGTATAGTTTTCTTGTGTTGTATATGTGCAAAAAAAGATGATATGCGTCTTCTCATAATTAGTTTTCAAAATTTCAAAAAAAGTCATGAACAAAGTCATTCAGACTGTAAAGGTTATGCCATGATAGGGTCATGAATATGCTGCCTGATTTCTGAGACAGTGTTTTACAATAGCTGTAATAAAGCTTTTAATAGCTTTTAAACAGTAAAATTAAACAAATCCTACACATTAACCTAAAAACCCACTATTAAAACTCTAAATTTTGGAAGAAATGTTGGTTAGTCAGGAGTCTGAATACTTTTGGACATACAGTAGAGCATATTTCTGTAATCGTTTTTTCTGTAGTTGAGTCTATATCTCATTTTACTTTCATATTTTTAAATAAGAAGCTAAAGAAGTGGTGTTAGTTTCAGCGTTGAACCATGAATGTTTTTTTTCACTCAGTGCCTCAGCAGAGGACTGGAGATGAGCGTACGGCACCTGTGCAGCAGGTGGCTCTCTCTTCCACACAGCCACAAGTGACTCTCTCTGCGGACGGCATTCAGCAGCTCTTACTGCAGCAGCAGGTACAAAAATGATGTTTTCATCTAAATACCCACCAGTTCTCTCCTTTAATGTAAAAAGGAAATACAATAATGATGTATAATGTGTGCATGTGTGTAGCTGGCGCAGGCTCAGCTGTGGGGTTTAGGAGGGCCATTGGAGCTGGGTTCTTTGCAGAGACAGAGGAGAGATGCAGAGCAAGAACCTGGAGAAGTGGCTTCACTCCAGGCTAAAATCATACAGCTGGAGGGACAGGTACCTTCACTCACTAACACACTATTGAATCTGGATTAGTTTTACCAGATGGAATTCGTTCGAATTTGTTCAAATCTGGCTGTGCGTTTAAAACAGGATTACTATTACTGAGGGTGCTCTGAGCAAAAACTGCCTGTACTTCAGATTCATACTGGATAAAACACTCCAAAATTATTACAGCCAGACTCTAAAAACTACAACACACTGGATTGAAGTTATTGTTGGACTGTAGGAACTACACACACTGCAGATCCATACTGGATTAAAATGATTCCAGAGTTATTACTATCTAACTGCAAAAACTACACAAACTGCAGATTCATATCAGATTAAAGTCAATCCACAATTATTAATGTTAGTCTGTAAAAACTACATACATTGCAGATTCATACTGGATTAAAATCACTCCACAATTACTACCGTCAGACTAAAAAATCATGGGTGTTGTCAGTAATCACTTAAATTAGCATACCTTCCCAGGTAAAATCTGTCCAGCTCCAGTGAGGGGTATGCACACACACCTCTGCTCCCAGTTAACCCACATTACATCAGAAATGTGTGCACACACACCTCTGCACAAACTCACACATGCACACAGAGCTAACAGATGTCTCCTTCTGCTGGCTGGCAGGTGAGGAGTCTTCAGCTGGAAAAGGATCAGATCCAGATGCTGCTGGACAGCGTCCAACAGAGACACAAACAAGACACAGAGCTTATGGAGAACACACACAGGTAACATACACACAGGGAATAATTATATAAATTATATAAATAAAATAAATATAAACACAACATAACACAAACATTCAAAGATACAATACAGCACTGATGGTCAAAAGCAGTAAACTTTCTAAACTTCATGAGTTTTACTCAGCTGACAAACACATTTCACAGATTTGTCTTTGCAAATGAAGGGATGGTTGGTCTGTGGATCAGACACACACTCATGGTCACTTTTGCTGTCTTGTCAGAGCTCGCGTGAAGTTGTTGGAGGAGTCTGGGTCCCAGCGGGAAGAACGAGCGCGGCAAGAGAACGAGGACCTGGCAGAACGTCTTGCTGCAGTGACTCGCATGGCAGAGCAGGAGAGAGCCGAGCTGCAGGCGCAGAACCAGCGTAGGCTGGCGCAGTGCCAACAGGACCGCGACCGAGAGGTGGAGAGACTCCGTGACCTCCAGAGGTGCCTTATTTATTCTGTTTACATTCTTGTACAAAAGTTTAATTATTCCAGGTGACCTTAGTCCCCTTCACACATTAAAGTACTACTGGATCTGGAATAGTGTTCCCAGAGAACGTTGTGTACCAGTTGGTTCAGGATAAAGAATATGTGTTTATTCCCAGATAAAAGGTCATAGCCCAGATGTTCATGTTAGCATTATGTCACAAGACTCACTCAGTAACAGTTACAACATGCTGCATGGCCATGTCCTTTACCTGGTTTTGTTATTCCATTAGCAAGAGGTGGATTAGAACAGGACTACTATAACTGAGAGATAATTACAGAAGGCCTCTGAAGAACTTTGCACATTGTAGATTCATACTGGAGTAAAAATCAGTCCAGAATTATTCACATCAGACTGTAAAAACTACACACACTACAGATTTCTATTTCTTAATTTAGTTAAATTGTACACTGCTCTTTCAAAAGTTTGGGATCAATGTTTTCAGTAACATAAAACCAATTTGGTAGCATATAAGTGTATGAAGTTATTTTTATGTGCCGCTCTGTGCGACTTCACAGTTTCCAAATAATTAGTAATAAACTATGAAGCTGTAAAGAAAAAAAGACAATTTTAGATTGAGCCTAATGATGAACAGAGCTGTAGATTACTCTAAAATGACTGAGAGCTGTATAAGATCAAAAATGAAAGTTAATAGTGGGGGGCTGATAAACATCAGTTTGGATGGGTTACAGTCTGTAAACCTACATAATGCACATCTATGAAAAGTGTATCTGACAAAATGGCTAATGAGTGTAGGTTCAAGGTAGGTGACTGCTCTACAGATGTCCATGCTTTTGGCTTATTGTGTACACTCGTCCCATAGGAAGTCCATACTGGAGATGAAGAAAGATCATGAGGAACAGGTGCAGAGACTCAGGAGGCTGAAGGATGAGGAGATTGATGCAGTAACCAGTGCTACCTCACAGACTAGGTACTGCAGTTTAATCACACACAGACCCACACATGTATACACTTTCTACAGCTAATATACAGATATATGTGCTCTCTCTCAGGCAAGACGCTATGGTATGGACACTAGGGCTTGAGCAAATAATCACAGTATGTGCGCAAATTTGACCCTAAAAAAGGCCCATTTGACCCATTTGACCCATTTAAAAAGCACTATGTTCTGTTATAGCTATGTACGTGGACATTATAAGCGTAATCAGAATGTACTTACTACTTTAAGGGTTCACATCAACTCAACATGAAAAATCACATGATATCCACAGAGTAAATGCAGTTTCTAATTTTCATCACTGAAGTGGCTGCATGTTCCAACCAATGAGCGTACACTCCGTGCAACAAAAAATGGGCCGGGCCCAACATAGTATTGTTTTTTTGCCAATGGTTTTGATCTGGTCAGAGAATATTTGGTCTCACAAAAACACAAATTAGCTTGGTAATGCTTTTCAAATGTTTGAAGCCATCAGTGCTGAGTGGAAAAATATTGACTCTTCTTTTTGTATAAAGCTGTTTGAAACTTTACCCACAAAACTTCAACATTTAAAGAAAACAAAAGGAAAAGCTGTCCCCTTTTTGCACGGTAATGTATATCGTATACATACAGTCAATGGTTCCATCTCCTCCGTGATAGTAGCCTTATGCTCTAGTTCTCATTCATACAGCTTGTGGATTCCTGTTACGGTGAAGGCTCTTGAGAGGAACTGGAGCATTCCACTTAGCTATTTCTTTTGTTAGTTTGCTGCTCATTGATCATTAAGCACTGTCCAGCATAGTCTGCCAGAGGTGCTGAAGGTATCGCTTTAAAAGGCATTTAAAAGCTGCATTTGAATGAAAGGGCTACAATTGTGGAGTCTGTAACATGCAGTGCAGGAGCAGTTGGGCTTCAGCCTGCACTGAATGGTTAGAGTGGTCAAACTAGGAACATGTTAACCTTGACAGCCCTAATTATCACACAGCCTGCTGTGTCCCTGACCAGGCACTAGATATCTTTACACACATGCGTACCTACATTGCATGTTATGTCTCTCTCATACACTGTCACAGTTTCCTCCCCAGTGTTTTCTTTGGGAATATGTGTGGATATACAGTACTGTGCAAAAGTCAGAGACCACCCTTTATTTATTTAGGTTATTTCTTTCTCTGGGATAAATCTGACAAGATTAGTTAAACAGTATTTGAAGCTTTCAATTTTGAGATAGGAGAAGATCAAGCCCCACTCTTGCTTCAAATAAAAAAAAATAATAAAATCCACAGGTGTTTCTGTCCATCCTTCCACTGTGAGAAGACCACTCAGTGCCAAGGGCCGAAAAGGATGTGTAGCTCTCAAAAAGCCCTTACTGAGAAAAGGGCCATAGAACACCAAAACTGAACATCTGAGATGTGGAGTAAAGTTTTATTGACTGATGAGTCTACATTTGTAATTGTGATTACTTGAGAAACAGAAGATACAACAAACTTCTAAGACTAAACTTTGGAGGAGTAGAAAATATATCCCTGCGGAATTCTTTGAAAAACTGAAAGCAAGTCCACTGAAAAGAATGGAAGCTGTAATAAAGGAAAAGGATGGACACATTATATACTGAAAAAGTTAATATTATGTTTATTTGTTGAGGATTTTGAGTTTAGTAAGCTTTCTACCTTTTTCCCTGATGCTGAAAAATGAATAACTTGTACTTATTTGTTGATTTGACTGGAAACTAAATAAATGAAGGCTGGTCTCTGACTTTTGTGCAGTGCTGGATGTATCTCTGAGAGTGTTAATTATGTGTCTATGTGCTTTTTTTTGTTTTTGTTGTGTTTTTTTAATGTAGGTCTCTGACAGCAGTGATTGAGCAGATGGAGCAGTTTTCTCGCAGGTTGGGTGATCTGTCGTCTCGTGTGGAGATCACTCATGAAAACACGGCACAAGGTCTGGAGTTGGGGGCCAGGCAGAGAGACGAGCAGCTCCGAGGTACAGCAAACAACAGACCACCTGTTAGTCTTGTCTTTTTTAATATATGTTTTATATGCAATGTTGATAATGGTAAAATAGTGGTAACTCTGAACATATATTCTATCATTGAGTACTATTTTGCCTTACAACGCCATGCATGTATCTCTCTGCCATGAGTGGATTGTAAAAAAGTTGTTTAGGCCAGAACTTTATATCAAAACTATCATAATTCAATGTCTCAGGCAACATATTCATAAACATTTCATGTAATAACTTTATGTGAGGGAGCTTTAAGAGGCATAAATTCTTAGAGTACTTCATGACTGGCTTGTAGTTAATTTTCAATCACTCGATAACTCGCTTACTAACATTTAGGAGGTTAAAAGTTTTCCAAAAGGGGGCGCCATCAGCTGTCAAATAGCTTTATGATGCTTATTACGAGCTGTGCTTCGCATCAGTGACACTTGTCCTTGTTCAGCAAGTCAAACTTTGTTCTTTTATGATACAGTGCTGGCACGTATGACCTATCATGTTCGTGTCTGTTGAGGTATACTGTAGTATTCCTGTTTTTGTAATTGTGTGTGCTCTTTTAGTGCTGCAAGAGCGCCTGACCCAGCAGCAGAGGGAGATGGCTGAGGAGAGAGCCCGACTGAAAGAGGTCATAGCCAAGATGGACACACAGCTGGCTGAGCAGCAGAGGCAGCTTCAGCAGGTGAGTGTTTACATGAGTCTGTGCCAAGCACCTCACAGCTGCACTGTTGGAACATTTTAACCCTATTAGACGAACTATCAGATGAAATTCCGTATTGTTTTTAGATCATTGCTGCCGTTCAGTTCTTTGAGTAAAAGATATACAGTTCATTTGAAACTGGAGATATTGAGCTAGGCCTGCGCCCAGTGACGTTTTACCAACTCCATCCTTGCTTATTCTCCATTTTTCATTTTATTATTTATTCTCTCACTTGCTAGTCAGATGCATTTCTACACACATAATTGTATACGGATATCGAAAATGCATTCTGTTTACGCTTGTGTTAAATGTGGTCAAGATTAGTCTCTGAATGTGGCTTGAGAGATCGAACTGCAATTCAATCACTACTACGCATCGAACTCCAAAAATTAGCTGGTCACCGAAAACACATATTAATGCAAGTTCTAAACAGGCCCTTGAAGTCACTCTGTAAAATTACATCACTGTAAACAATGTTATGCAGAAGCAGGCAGGCCTTAGTGAAGGTCTGAAAGGACTAACAATTTCAGCTGTACTGGAACTGATTTCAGTCATTTTCTATACTAGAGATGGAGAACCTGGTTCTTCAGGGCCGCAGCACTGCACAGGCTATCCCTGTTCTACATGTTTGATTATTGCCCAAAAGCTTACAAGAAGAAGAGTTAGAAGTGTGTTTGTGTGTGTCTTAGGAGCGCTGGCGGGTGACGGCGGAGCAGGCTAAAGCTGAGTCAGCGTTAAGGGGCCTGGAGGAGGAGAGACGGAGCATGATGCAGCATTTTGCCATGGAACGAGAGGAGCTGGAGAGAGCCAAGGTCTCACACACACGCACACACACTAGGAATATGCATTCCTAATCATTTTAACTCTTTTAATGAGTTATTGAACAGATATCTGGTTGACCAAAGGGAAGAAAAACAACAATAAAACGGGAAAAAAATGACTTTGACCAAAATTAGCATAGGAGATGATAGCACTGGAGGCTAAAATTTGTTTTATTACTTAATATCAGCTGATTGAAACTGGTAGGTTTTCATGTTGGATGAGTAACAGAAGCTGCCTCTTCAGAGGAGCCAATGAGCTGAGACTAAAAGGTACAACGCTAGATTCTGAAGGTGACTCGTCGTCTTCTACACAAGGTCTTTTCTCCTCAGTGGACGTCATCAGCTTACATCAGCTACATCAGTCAGCAATGCAGCTCAGTATGTGAAATGCTGAATACAAATCACTTTGTACACAGTTTTGTTAGTATTTTTGAAATGTAGCTCTTCTTTGTTTGTACCAAAAAATAAAAAGTGTGGCAGATATATTTTCACCATAGCGCATTAACTCTACTATTTATTCACCAAAAATATTGCAATATTATTTGTACAGATCTTTTTTCTCTTACCCCATACATACCCAGAAGCATTTGCTTTAACCATATTGAGGGCCTTGCTGGTGGACCCCTTAAACATGTGTCTGTGATGAGAGGGGTTATAGTGCATGCATGTCCATGCTGCACATAGTGAAATGGATCAGTGTGTAGATTCAGCATTTTGTGTGCTACTATGTTTTCTATCACTGTGTAAAAGATACATAAAGTTTATTGACAGTGGATGCACTATGATTTTTTTATGAGTGAGCACAGGAGCTCATTCAGAGCACAGTTTGGATGAGTAAGCTAGATTTATTAGAGTAACGATAAAACTAAGCTGATGGGTGATTTACATATTTATGTGTTTGCTCTTTCAAAAATGTAGTTTGTGACCAAAAAAAAAAATACATATTTTTGGCTTCGGTAGATCACGATCTTTACATATCAAATAAATGCAGCAACAGGATTGTAAAATTAAACAGAATAAATGGCAGAAATGGCCATTTTTTTACTTCAGCATTAAAGGATTAATATAGAAATAGCACCCTCCTGATCATCATCAGCATCACTCACAGACATGATCAGCATTCCAGAACCCCTCATTACCTGCTTGAGGTGTGTTTCAAATCATTTTAGTTGATATTGACGCTCTGCGATCTTGCTCTTCTGGTTCTCTCTCTCTGTTCTGTCTCAGTCTGCTCTGTTAGAGGAGCAGCAGACGGTGATGCAGCGCTGTGCTGAGGAGCGGAGGAAGCTTGCAGCGGAGTGGACGCAGTTCCACACTCAGGAGAAAGTGCGTCAGGATCGAGCGGAGCGTGAAGCCAGCCGGGCAATGGAGAGAGAGGCGCACAGAGAGGGAACCATTATCAGCATCGCACAGGTGGGGAGAGACACACACACACACACACATCAGAGTGGAACTTTTCATTAGAACTGTTTACCTTTTTTTGTTTTATCATCTTATTCAGTCTTGACCAACAGCGAGCCAGTTCCTTTCTTTCCTCCATATTCAGTACTTTATATTAATTGTAGAGTCTTATCTTTTATTCATATTGTTCTTGTTGTATTAATGTTTTGCTATCTGGTGTCAAAAGAGTGTGGATTCCCCTTTTGAGTCTTGAATCCTCTCAATGTTTCTTTCTTTTGCTTTTAGGGAGTGTTTTCTTGCCACTCTCTCCCTTGGTTTGCTCACTACACTTTTTCTGTAAAGCTGCTCTGTGACAGTACCTACAGTAAAAAGCATTTTATGAAACGGATAGTTGCGCTTCTAAAATCTGATTGGCTGAGCTGCGTTAGAAGCCGTTGTAAAACCTATGATATACGCACACCTATGACCATCTCACAACAATTCAACTGTGTATTATTGTGACACAGCATGAAAAAAACCATTGTGCTGTTAATGGAATAATCTTTGACTCTCATAATGCTCGCATGGACCACCGAGTATATTGATGACTTAAGAACCTGCTTTTTGTTTGAACTGAGGGGCTGGCAACTTATGTTCTTAACTAGAACTAGGCTGGTCAGCTAGCTAACAGGCTAAAAGATAGCCAACAGCCTAAACAACTCCATCATTAATATAACAGGCTTGAATTAAAGTACTTACTTTATAAGTACTTTTTGATCACCAAATGAACACTGCTAACATTAGTCTTATATAGTACCAATCCAGTGGTGCCCTCTTCTTGTGCTGGGTCTGAGTCTCAAATGACTCACACTCTCATAACTACACAACTTTATTTCAGTAGTATTTGTTGAATTATTGACAGTAGTTACTAAATAAAAAGCATTAAAATGAATAACTGCATCATAAGCCTGCAGTGCCAAATCTGACAGGACTGTTTATGTTTCAGGAGCAGGCCGAGCTGAAGCTGCGAGCAGGTGAGCTGAAGCAGAGAGAGGATGCGCTTCAGCGAGAAAGAGAGAACCTGGATAAGCTGAGAGAGGAGCTGGAGAGAGAGAAGGAGAAACTAAGTGCAGCAGCTTTACGGCTCAAAAGCCGTGCACAGGAGGTGGAGAGTTTCAGCAAGGTACAGCTAAACAGTCACAGCACTGTCAAACTTAATCACTAAACACACTGAGAAAAGTGCATAAACAGTACCTTGACGAAGAATTCAAACCCACTGAAATGATACACAGTTGATCCAAATTAATATGTTTGTTTGTATTTTGTTGTATTTTTTTCCTTTAAAAAAATGCCAAACAATATCTATTTCCCATCCCCCACCCAAACCCACTTGGGCCATTTCAACAGAAACTAATCATACAAGCAGCAAAGGACACTCCAAACACCGGTCACAACACAAACACATTATACAGTTAAGAAAGCAAAAGGCACCTCACTTTGGTTATTCCATCATTCCATGTATGAAGAGTTTTAGGAGCTGCGCTGTTGATTCTGGTGGATGATAGTTTCGGATAGAGGCTATCCTGTAAATAAGGACAGATCACAAAGGGGTAACCATTGTTGGACGATGCTGTTTTTAGCTGCTATTAAGCCAGCCAGGCAGATATTGTGAGTGCTTTCTGTGGTGGGGAATCTTGAGTCATCATTAAGAAGGTGAAGGTCGGGGTCCATGGAAAGGGCCTGTTTGTTAGGGAAGAGATTAAGGTGCATAAAAGTCCCCAGTGTCCCATATGTGCAAGTAGTACAGTAAGAGTATGGACTTAAACACATTAAATGCCTTACCCTGGGTGTCAGAGATGCTCTGTGGCAGATTTTCATATGAATAAATTGATGATTAGGGGTATGTGAAGCCTCAAAGACACCGTGCCATGCCACTACCTGCCTTCCCTCTGTTACAGAACCCTTTCCCATTCCTTTTGTCCAGTGATATTTACAGATACATATGACATAAACTTGGACATGTGGACCTCATGCCATAAGTCTAAAAGATAAAAGAAAATTGCTGTCACTGATGCTTTCAAGAACCACTATGCTTTTTTTACTCATTGCTAATTTGCATCAACAAACTGTTTTTTTCAATTTCAAGTTTTAGTAGTGCACGTAAACGAACTTAAGTTGTTGAACCTCATAAATCCCAGGCTTACTATTCAGTTATTAATATTAAGAGTTATTATTCATGAACTCCTATGAATTCTCACTTTAATCTTGTCTTGTGTAGCTGGCGTCAGAGCGGTATGAGGAGGGTGAGCGGGCACTACAGGAGGCCAGGCAGGTGGAGACAGAACACAAGGCTCGACTTCACACTATCCACACCGAGATGGAGCGACTCAGGAAGCAGGAGCAGAGCCTACAGCAGGTAGCCTTCTAGTTCTACAATGTGAGGATTTAAGCATGCAGTTACTTTGTTTGCTACATCAGCCACATAGCTCTTTAGTGCGAAACTAAAGACGCCTACTTCAGGATACTAAACGTGATTTTACCGATCAACTACATTTCACACTCTAGTCTAGAAGCCATGTACTGGTTATGGAATACTGGTTCCACAATGAAATAGTGCACTGCAAAGGACATTGAGAGAGATCACATTTTAAGAATGTGCACAGGAAGTTTCCTCAGATCAAGGAAATCAAGCAATTAGCCAAAATAGGCTCTTGATGCATGGCCCAAGTGGCTTATTGCTCCTATAAAATGGCTACAAAATACACCAATGTTTAATAAATAATGTTTGAATATTAATAATCATAGTAATAATCCTAAAACAATACTAGAATTGTTGCTCACTAAGAGATTCAGTTGATGCTTGTTGTACTGTGTGTATATGTTGTGTTCTACAGCAGTTTTGAATGTGACTAGGCCCATCAGATTTTGGAGTAGGATCTACCCAATTTTAACAGTTTAGGTTCATTGTCCCTGTGTGTGAGAATTTGTTGGCTTGCCCTTCTAGGAGCGAATGATGATGACTGATCATCGCAAAGAGGTGGAGAGAATGAGACAAAGCCTTCCCATCAACGCTTTACCTCTCTCAGCTGCACCGTTATTAACAGGTATATGTACACACTGGCCCAAGCACTAACACTTCAACTTTATTAACGTGAGAGAATGGAACAACCTACTCATTTACATTGTATTGATAACTGAATTGCAAGTGCAGAAACCATGAACAAATGTTCTGTTGGTCCAGTCTGAATATTACAGGAATCCAACAAACAGAAAAAGTAACCTTAGAATACTGTGGTTCCCTATGGGCCTCTTGTGGCTGGGCTGGAATAGTACAAAAAACATGTAACAGAAGGGATTCTGGTTACATGCCAGACTTCGCTTCAAAAAATTATCACTATTTCAGAATTTTCCCCAGCATTTGCCAGCACTCAGGTGGGTGCTACAGTGGCTGTTCCTCCTCCTCCTGTAGTGAACACTGTCTCCAGTGGTGTTTCTCCAGAACTACAGGCAACACTGGCGTTGCTGAGACACACAGCAGAAAAGGTATAGACCCCACCTCACCTTCACAGTGAGGTACAATTGCTGGATTTTTAAGCCTAAACATTCATTGACCATTTTATGAGCTACATATGGATTAGATTATAGGTGTTGGCACTCATACCAACACCTATAAACATGCTAGGAATGGCACATCTCCCCATTTAAAATCCCTAGTTGGCAAGGGTCCTATAGCCATTACTTTCACAAAATACAAACCACAATCCGAAACATCAATAATGCTAGGATAGTTTTTGAAATCAGTTACTAGATGTGTTCTGATCCTCCTTTGACTAAGATTTACAATCATTATTGGCTTGTCTATTTTTACTTTGTGTAGGTTATAGTTACTGCATTTATTTTAACACCTGGAGTAGCAATTACTCATTAAGTGGTTGTTTGAGGTTGGAATCACTTCATGTTATCAATTCAAATGCCTTTTTTCTCCTTGACTAATCACTTTTCTAATTTAGGACCGGGACTTCCTTCAGGATGAGCAGTTTTTCCTGGACACACTTAAGAAAGCACCCTACAACTCAGCCTTCCACACTGCATGACAAACAAGACAGGCAAACTGTGCCATTTCTTTATTTACATTCCTTTATTTAAGCCAAAATGGTCAATGTTTGTACACATGAATAAAAGTTTTGTATTAATTTGCATCCTGTTCTTGCTTTTCAACTATCCATGTGGACTCCAGCTCTGAGGCACACTGGAAATATTCAGCTTTCAACACCTGAAACAAAAACACCAGTTAGTTACTGCAAGAATAATCATGTAACATCTTGAATGCACAATCAAGACAAGCCTCAGGTTACCAAGACTCCACACGATCATTTCAGACAGGGATAACTTTGTATCATCACTGGCTTGAGGTACAATCTCTAGGATTCATAATTCTAAAGATACAAGTAAGCGAGCTCATACCTGCACCTTGATGCATAACATTGTGGATCCAGGATAAGCCAGGCAAGCCAGAGACCACCTGCCAAGACATCATACATCAGATATGCTGTACAGGAAACAGTGAACATACTGTGCACATTGAGCATTCCTCAGAACAGTTTGGCTTTTACCATCGTCAGTTATCGCATCAGACGGCACTTCCTATGTAGCATTTTCATCTCCGGAATTATGTTAACTACTGTAATTAGGTTACATAATCGATATTTACCATTTCTGTTGCACCAGCTGCATCAGTAGCGTCAAGTCACATGCCAGATACCTTTAGAAGGGGAGAGAAAGGACATAAGTGGATATGGTTTCAGGCAAATTTAGTCGTTTTCTTCACACTCAATACTTGATTTACAGGGAAAGTCCACCAATTTTCTTTTTAAATTTCTCCAGAATTCAGCAGTTAAGATTAAAAAGGTCTGTGATTTGATGTGGAAGTTCTTTTGCAGAGAAACATACCAACACATAATTTACAGAAGTGGTTACAAGAACCAGAGGTCTCAAGGTCTATGCAATATTTATGGTAAAATAATGGTCAATGAATTAAAGTTTTCTTTGGGACATTGGGCAACATTAATAGCCCTTTCATGTAATAACTTTTTGCCTCACATTTGCCTCAAAAAGCTTTCTCCATCACTTCATAACCACTGAACAATTCTGACCGGCCAAGTTTCTCTACAACAAAGCATGTCACACCAAACCCCTCATTGACTTATCAATTTAATTTTTTTAAATGATTAAAGTTTAAGGTGGGACTTCTGCAGCATAGCTAACCTAACTTACCACAGCCATCGTTCTCAAGAGCCAAGAGCCATGTGGTCCGGTTCAGTCAGACATTCATCAGAATCACTTCAGCTGTCCAACCTTGAGGGAAAAATCAAAAACGTAAGACTTAACTACTGTGCTGCATTTCGGAAAGGCAACATTTAATCCATCGCGCATTTCTACTTAACGTTTCCACAGTGCTCATTAGCTATAAGCTAAGCTAGCTAGCTAGGACTATTAACATTAGTCCGCCCCTGCATGCGATTAACGTTAACTAAGCACTTCTGCTGCATTTCAGATAATGCCGCTCATATTTCTCAAATTTCAGACCTTCATCTAATGGAGCTCGAAAGAAAACACAGCAAAGTCGGTTTTCTCTGTTCAGTGGCTGGTTAGCCTGCAGTAACGCTAATCTAGGTATCCAAAGCAGCTAAACACCTTAAGAAACTTTAACCTTAAAAAAAGACACAAATAAACCTACCTTTTCTTACGGTGGTCTCAAGTGGTCGCCCATTGTTCCTCGTGCTTTACACATGTTTAAGGGGTTACGTAAACGTAACGTCCGTCCTGTCCGCCTCCTGCAGCTGCGCATGAGAAAAGACTTAGCAAATGCACGCGGGCGGGATTTATAGCACCACATGCATCACAATCCACATGACTTTTGTCCAATGGGGAACCAGAACGTGTTTCCGCTTTACCGCGATTTTTATAAGACTAGAGAATTTATAGTGGCTGTGTTCAAAACTAGAGATGAAACGATATTAAAATTTCATATCACGATTATCATGACCAAAATTATCACGATTATTGATGATATCAATGATATTGTTCAAATGTGTTGAAAAGTAAAATAATTAATAAATAAATACTGATACACAAACTGAAACTCGTTTCACCAACTTTTATATTAACACAAATAGAATTGGCAGCAATATGCACTTTTTGTTTGCATAAACATTAAAAAATAAGGTCAATACATTTTTAGTATTACTTTTGTATTACTTACAATACTTGTAATAGCAAATATATTATTATTATTGTTATTCTTCTTCTTATTATTATTACTGTTATTCTTATTATTATTATTATTATTACTGTTGTAATTATATTATTATTATTATTATTATTATTATTATTATTATTATTATTAATTACAATAACTAGGGATTTCCCTGCATAGAGAATTAAACCTCGACCAACTCTGAGGTGGGTCTTAATGGAAAATTACTACTTCTAAGAAGTGCTGCACTATGTATGGGACATTGAGTGATCTGAGACAGTGTTATTGTCTTCTCAGAAAGGGGAGCTGTGCAGATTGAACTTCTGCAGCGTCTCGTTCCAGAGCTTGTGTGGCTTAACTCAGAGCTCATTTTGGAGACTCTGCTCCACAGAAATATGTGTTAAAAGCTTTAGTTTCGATTCACAGTTGATTCACCGATTGTTGTCTTTTTTTGAAGCTTTTTTTGACGCTAAAAGCTTCATTTTATATTATTAACGAACCATAAGCATAAGTTAAACCACACAAACATGTTCTCCCTTCTCTCCCTCTCACTCTCTCCCCTTCCCCCTCCCCCCCTCTACACACACACACACACACACACACACACACACACACACACACACAGCTGCATCTGAGAGAATGATTCTGCCTTTGTTTGACTCTGTACAGCGAGTTTTTCACACGATACTTTAAAGTTCAAACGGTACCAGTAACAGTCATTAATTTTACCGCGGTTTACCGTGTAACCGGTAACCGTTTCATTCAAAACAGCCCACTGTATACTGGTCACTGCCCACTGCACACTGCATCTTTTTATACTCAACACTGTGTATTGTACAATATCCAGCATACGACACAAACGACACGTGAAGTAGGTAGATCTCAGAAACTGCTCAGTAAGCCGAAGTATAAGATCGTGTTTCTAATAAAGTGGACACACCTCCAAAGTTTGGTCTTAGAAGTTGGTTGTCTTTTCAGCTTCTCACAATCCAAGTAATTCCGAACACATGATGTTGAGGTCTGGACTATAAGGTGGCCAATAAATTTTTGTCTACTTTTTCAACAATGTACTGAGCTACAGTTTTGGAACCTCTGAGCTGGAGCCTATAAAAATGAGTTACTTGTACTTAAAGGCAATTTTGTTTATATATATATTTATACATTCACAATTTTATCTTTCACTTCTACAGAAGATGCTCATCTTTTTAAATTCAGAAGAGATGAAGGGGTGCTCTCTGTGTATGTGTGAATAATGAAAAAAAATCTTACAGAAAGTAATTTTTTTAATATTAAAATTATAACTTCAGCTTCATCAAGTTTATCTATTTAACTGAATATCTTCTGAACTTTTTTTACTTTCTGAAACATCTTACCACTGAATGGGCAACAAGAAGGATTCATGTGTGGGTGTGTGGGGTCATTTTTTATTAACTGCATTAATTATACTTATATGTACACATATACTTATGTATATGTATATACTTGTGTTATTCTGTATTCTGTTATACTTTTTATATTTTAGTGAAGGGATAAAAGGCTTTTCACATATCTCTGGTTATCAACTATGAACTTAAACAGCAAACCTCCAAACCAATTGAGATTTTAAATAATGTTCTGTTGTTTTTACATGAGGTTTGGTATTTTTATACATCTAAGCCAACTTGGTGTCAAAACATCTCAAATATGGATGAAATTAAAACTTTTTAGCTTAATAGACATCTTAATTAATACCAAATGACAATATGAATCCAAATGGAAAGGAGAGTTTTTTTTGTGTAGGGGGGTCAGCTCTGCCTTGCAGTGAATTGAGCACTGATTGAAGTGGATTCAGCAGCTTCCATACTTGAACATGTAATGAGAATGCACTGGCAATAGGCTGTGTTGTACTCCAAATCAAACTTTATTTTGAGTAAAACTTTAGGAAAAGAGAGTTTTAGCAACAAAGCATTGATACTTTAGCATTAATAGGGACACTTAATACTTTAATACTTAAACAACAGTTGGTGTTGTTTAAAGACTAGGTACCCCAACATATAATGTTACAGCTAGGAAGCTGAATACCACATCTGTATTAACATCCACTTCAGTGGTACATCAGTGGTTTTCTTTGTTGTTGTGGGGTAGGGGGGTTTCCAATGATTGTATTAAGTATTTGCATAATGCATGCTGGGTATTACAATGAGAAAAAACTGATGAGCAAAAACACAAAAAGGACACAAAACCATAAAGTCTGTCAAACTGATGAGACAGAGGTATGCAATAATGAGCTACCAACTATTATATAACCTGAAAAATAATAATTAAATTCTAGTTTTGGGCCGGAAATCCCCTTTAATAAGTATTAATACTGAAATATGGAAGCAAAAATCAACGTGAGTTAATGTAAAAAAAATATACATTTTAACAACCTTAAGTATATAAAAAAGTAGAGTCTGCTCATCCTTCATTTATTGTTCTTAACATTAAATTAACTTTAATGCTGGGTATTAACAGATCATGCTGCATGTAAGTAACCCAGATGAGTCCGTCTGTCTTGTCCCTATCAGCTCTTAAATTCAAAATTCGAATACACAGAGCATTGAAAAATCTCATGGCCTTTGAAATTTGTAATAAGGACATTCGAGTTTAAATAAAAACTTAAGGAGTAAATGTATATTGGAAATATAACAGAAAAAACACAAGCAATCAATTTCAGTGATACTTGAATAAACTACACAACATATAATAACAAATTACAGCTACTGAAGTATTTTCCACCCTGTACTTAATTGACTAATACACTGGTTTGCCACACAAGTCAAACAGGCTGTTGCAAAGCTTTAGCAGGTAATTGTGGAACTTGCATGCTTTAAAAGAAACACTGTATTATGGGCATTAGCATTAACATCTCATTCTTTGTTTTCCTCCTCTTCCATCTTTGTATCCACTGTGATGGTTCTGATGATGATGAGTCTAAGGCAAGAACACACACAGGTAATAGTGCTAAAAGCCAAGACAATAACATTCACTATCAGCATACTGACATATTCTATTACATTAATGGACATACAGAGAGATGACAAATTAAAGGAAAAAACAACAAAACCTCTTAGAATGGTCTTCAGTGTGACTTGGCATAGATTCTACAAGCCTTGGGAACTGTACTGGTGGGATAAAACTCCATTCTTGGTGTTTCGATAATTGTGGTGGAGAGCACTACCTAACATATTTGTACAAAATCTCCTAAAGATGTTCAATAGGGCTGAAATCTGGTGACTGTAAAGGCTGTAGCATATGACATACATCATATTCACACTCATCAAACTATTCAGTGATCCTTTGTGCCCTGTGAACAAGAGCACTGTCATTCTAGAAGGGACCACTCTCATCACAGGATATCTGGATAGGACAAGATGTAGGATGTCATAGGATGTCTCATCTGACCATATCACTTGTTTCCACATCTCTGTAGACCACTAGACTCTCAAATGTGCATTCATCTTTGTAATTAGGGGTTTATTACTGTAACCCCGCTGTAATATCCCTCTCTGTGCAGTTGCTGACAGTGTGGACATGTCCTGCACTGACATTCTCAGTCACCTAAGGAACAGTTGCTCTTCTGGTGTTACTTACACATTGCAGCAATGTGAGTATCAGGGACACTGAATGTGCACTATTGACCATGATTTCCAAAACAGTTTACTAAAATGGCTTTCCAATTGATCTAAATGCAGACGTCACTGTTTCTGCTGAAACATTAGCCAGTTAAGCAGTCTTAGTAAATGAAGCTCCTGCCATCTGTGCCTCAATAATGAACCCTCTTCCAAACTCACGTAAATCTTTTATACCTGCCACCTTGAGCCTAAATCAAGGTCAACTGGGCCTGCCTAGCATATTTGTACATGTTACAGGGCATAACTGATTAATTGTATCATGCAGTACATCTGGCTAGAAGCATCTACCCTCAGTATGTTTACCCACTCATTTATTCAAGTTTTTCTTTTAATTTGTCAGCTGTTTGTGCTCGCAAAAGCTTTGTTGCTAGGTTCACCGAAAATAGCCAAAAATGTATATCACAGTGTAATTAAAATTTCTGACAGTTTGGGCATACATCATACATATACTTTTAAATAAAAATGCTTTAGATGCTAACCTACTTTTAACCTATTTAAGTTTCTTTCACTTTTTAATAAACATTTTTACACGCAAAGTAAATCTGAAATATTTATATTGTGCAAAATAGTAATTCCCATCTGAATTCCTACAAGGCTGAAGTTGGCTTCTTATTCAGCAGTTTTTTTGTTCAAATTTTATGTCCCAACTTAAATAGAGGAGCATTTACATTCTGTCACCTGTACAGACACCTTAGCATAACTGCTGCTTCATGTAAGGTGGAATAAGATATTTAAATAAGAAGCTAACTTCGTAGCCGAGCACTCATCACCAGACAGCTAAAAATAATATTTTCTTTCTTAAATTATGACTATTACAAAAATTGCGGCTGTGCTTTTCCAGCTGATAAAAAGCAGCTCACTAGACAGTTTCTCACACTCTCCCATGAACTATACCATAAAGGATAGTTTAAAACAGCAATTAACCACCCAGGAGCAAAAATCAGCCTTCAAACTTGAAAGACATAATGAATTGACATTTATCGCATTTATCAATATCGAACGATATGTATTTTGTTTATCGTGATAACATTTTTGGCCATATCGCCCAGCTCTAAAACGGGCTAATGTTAGCAATATTTGCACTGTTTGTATGTTGCATTATCTGTGCATATTTGTGGTATACCGGTATACAAATATGAACTGATATACTGCCCACTACTAACTCTGTGTAACACTGAAACACTGACCAACACTGACAAAGCATCAAGTGCAAATGAAATCACTTACTGGAGTCAGAAGAGGCTGCTTTAAGGACCTACACCTGCATCATAGCAAAAGGAGGAGCAAGAGAAAGCAATAGAGAGGAAGATGGATTAAACACTCTCATTAATTTTGCAGTAATATTTTCATTTGTTCATTCTTGGAACTGTGTTTTCTGGGTGAATTTGGTTTTTGAAGTAAGGTTCTTACTGTTATAGCATCATACACATCATCTGTGGACTTGGTCATCGGATTAAGAGCTGTGTATGTGTCGTCCTTGTTCTCCGGGCTAAAATTCTGTTTGAAGAAAAAGAGTACATCAGCACCATGAACAGCTGCCTCACTGTGCAAGTGTATGGCTAAACAGCACTGCATGATTCTGCACCCTACCTGGAAGCCAGGATGAATAATGATGCACACATTGTAATAGATCACATACCTCATAATCATCTTTTACTGATGTCTTCTTCTGTTTCTTCCTCCTGCTTTCACCTGTAACGTAATAATTTCCACTTGTTGTCCCACGTTCACTTCCATTTGTTGTCCACTTCTTCCTTCTTTTAGGCAATAAATGACAACAGTTCTACATTGCATGTTATCATACTTAATTATTATCATAGCAGTGTTGTTTCAGTTAAACATAATGGTGGTGAAGTCAATAGTCACCCAAATTTTTTCTTTTGTAAATACATCTTTTAAACTTCTCTCAACCTACTGAAACTAATCTAGGTCTTCATTAAAACTGATTTTTCAAAAGGTTTAGGACACAGTATGACTGTGAACTACAGACATGAACAAAATAAATCCATCTAAGCCCCTGTATGATTATGCTGATGACGTAAGTGCCAGACATTAGCGGGAACCTTAAACCCCCCCAGAGTACAGCAGTTTCAGATCATTGCCTAATCTCATATGAGATCTCATATGTTATCCTGTCAAGCGTACTAACATCCTACTTGCATAGAAATTATATGCATAAATAATTTCAGTCTGGATTTAGACAACGTCATAGCACAGAGACAGCACTAGTGAAAACTGTAAACGATTTGTTATTCTCTAAACAAGAAACGTATCTTTGCTGGTTCTGCTTGATCTTAGTGCAGCATTTGATAGACCACGCTATCCTACTAGACAGGTTAGAACACCCTGTAGGAATAATGGGAATAGCTCTTTCCTGAGTGAGGCTATCAGTTTGTGAATATAAATAGTGAATCAGCTGTTTGGACAAAAGTATGGTGTTCCACAAGGCTCTGTTTTAGGACCTCTATTAAGCCTAAACAAGCTTCAGTCAGTCCAGAATGCTGCAGCGAGAGTCCTTACAAAAAAAAGTTTGATCAGCAACCTTATTGAAGACGTGGATGCGATTTGAGTGGGTTGAGAAAAGTTTTGGGAATGTGTTTATGGAAAAGATTTGGGTGACTATTGACTTCTAGTGTTAGGTATGTTAGACTCATAGGTGCAGTGCTAAACCAAAGAAGCAACATTTGGGCATCAAACATGTCTTGGCTGATGGACTACATCTGGTTTAAAGCCCCTGGGAAAATCTGAGTTTTCTTTCTAATTAAGATAATCTGGCTCCTCAGGGCCCCCAATGTAAACATACAAAGTATGTGTTATGAGTATCTTTCCAAAGTCTAATAAATGTCTGCTGTATTTTACCAGTCTTGCTCTCCTCTCAATGTTGAATGGGTGGTCCTAAAAGTGGGTCTGTCTACTGTCAGCATAACCCAGACCAATCACAAGCTAACATGGCTCTGCCCTCCCATTGAGTCTGAGTAACCTGGTGAGCTAAAGCTATCTTAGTAAGCATTTTAGTAAACTAGCTAGCTATCCAGCTATTTGCTTGTTTGGTGCACCTGAGGTTCATTCACCCAGTTTTTCCAACATTCCATGTGTGTGCATTCCCTGGATGCCCATCCAACAGAAAAGCGGATAAAAGCCTGACCTTCTTTAAAGTACCATCACATAAAAACTGGATAAGGTTGGACACAGTGGCATCATCTACAACATGAACAGTGTATGTAATAAACATTTCACTGAGGACAGCTTCAGTAACTTCACTCAGAAGGCATGCGGTTATGCTTAAACTCTTAGCTTGACTCTTAGGTACTGAACCTACTTTAACGTTACCTCTTCTATCAGACGAAGAACAGAGTCTACAGCCACAACATGTGAGTAACTTCTTCAACATAATCTGTATTTTTCCTTAACTTTAAGCAAACTTGTAAAAGATAACACCAGTGGTCATAAATTCCACTGGCTATAGCTAAGTTGTATATTTAAGCAATAGGACACCAGAGGTAGTGTGTTATTGCGAAATAACATCACGGCTGTGATTTGGTCGCCATACATCATCACAGCTGTGATGTTATTCGCAATAACACACAACCTCGAGTGTTCTATTGCTTTTATACTACAGTTAAATAAATAAAGTAAGAAATAAATAAACTAGGCCGGGAACGTGGCATTTAATATGTTTTAATGTTAGCAATTCCTTCCGCCAAATTATAGTTCCTTAACAAGCAGCTTGTTGCGACATCAGAGTAATGACCTCCACTCACTCGCTGCACACATAGCAACGGCGTCTCAGCGGAGTGATAGTGTTTGTGAAAAACCCGTTATGTTATGGAGAAATAACAGAATGGTTAGAACGCTTCTCAACCAATCAGCTTGCGTGGCCGGAACTAACTGTTGTATAAAGCTTAATATCTTAGCGGCTAATTTGTTAGCTGCTTTTGGAGGGAGTCTAGCTTATTCTCGAACGTTGTTTGCACACAGATGACGAAGCACTCAGTGAAAAACACCACAGTTGATGTTGGATGTCAGTGTCAGCAAGACTTCACCAGGGAGAGGCTGTCAAACAGACATTACCTTCCCACAGAAGACGGTGGACACACAGTTGTAACTAAAGAAACCTACCATTCTGTCACCAGCAGTGAATGCGAGTTATTTGTTGCTGCAACTTCTGAATCATCTTCAAACTCTTCATTGGTAGGTTCGTACATGTATGGCTGTAAAATCTGAGTAAATTCTAAGATCTGTGAAAAACGCAATTTGGAGTAAAAAGCTAGAAAACGCTAAAATAACTTCTCTGTCTCAAGGCTGTGTGCAAAAAACTCAAAAAATATCAAAATGTGTTCACAGGGGCTTTAAGTCAGAACACTCTTTTAAACGCTGTGCTATTTGCTAATGTAACCACTTTAGGCATGGATTAAAACTAGTCTTAGACTAAAATGCAGTTGCAATGCTGAGTCACGTTTTTAGTCTAGGCTTAACTGGGTTTGGGAAACTGGCCCTAAATGTTGGACAGCTGAATATAGAGTTTGACTGTGAGTGTGAGAAACATTAAACAGAGATGCTTTAAACATTAGAGACGCATCACCTTATCCACAGAACGGTGAAGAGAACGGCGACAAAGAGTCCTCCACAGAATCCACCGATGGCAGCAGCTGCAACCTGTGCTTTAGGACTCTCCTCTGAGTTAAAGGATTAAAATAATAAAATTAAGGTCTTTTAAAACGGAATAGAGAGATTGAGAGATCAAGTAACCATTGCTGCTCACCAGTGTATGTGACTGATACAGGACGTGCAAAGTGATGGCCAATTCTGTTACCAGCCTTGCAATAGTAGCAACCTTGCAATGGAGCAACATCATCTTCAGTGATATTTGCGACACTGTAGGTCTTCCCATATGCCACAGGTTCACTTTCACCTTCTTTAAACCAAGTGTATTCCATTTCAGGTGGGTTAGCAACAGCTCTGCATGTCAGGGTCACTGAAACTGACGTCTTCTTTGGGGAGTCTAGAGGTACAACACATCATTTTGATCTACTGGTCCTACAACTCAGTCAGAGTTAAACTCTTACGTGCACAATATATATGAAATATTGTGTTATATTAGATATAAATGGCTCTTTACTTACATAAAATATCAAAGGCTGTGTACTCTGAAGATGCAGATCCGTGCCGGTTGGATGCCCTGCACTTGTATTTGTTACTGTCTGCAATGCTGATATTTTTAATTCTGTAACTCTGCTCATTCCCTATTTGTATATCTTCAGTTCCTGATCTCTTAAACCAGGCGTAGTTCTCCACAGATGGGTTTGCTTCACTGCTGCAGGTCAGAGTCACTGAAGTCCCCTCAATTATTCCACCAGATGGTCTGCTAGACACCAAGACCCACTTTGGGCTATCTGCAAGAAATAATAAAAGCAAATACTATAATAACTATAGAGGCCCCATAATTATTAACACCCTGGTAAGTTTAGTTGAAGAAAACAAAAACCCTATGAAAAAAGGAATATTTATTTTGAAACAAAATTATGTGTCATAATTATTGGCTTGATGCAAATGTTCTTTGCCAACATCTGACTTCTGACAGTTGGTAGCAAAAAAGCAAGATTTTTTTTACTCCAAAATTACAGAATAAGCTGCCACCATGCAACAAAAACATTACTTTCAGTTTGCTTTCTTTTTGTTCACATATGAATAATAATTGATTTAAAACAAAATACTTTTCTTACAGAAGGACATCATTTGAGGTATTTGTATAGCCTTTATTAGAAAAATTGACCTTGCACTTCCACTTAATGGAACATTCCTGAGATTCTCCTACCTTATAGGTCTATTATATAGAAGTACAATATAGGACACGGGACCACTGTTAATGAGATTGGTGGTGGACTACTCTCATGCTTATCGACCGTATTTAAGAATGTTTTGCTAAAATGGTCTAGTGATGTCTGAATCTGGCAGGAAGTCAGGAAGAAAACCTGCTCATTAAAATCTTGAAAATTTCTTCTTACCACTATGCACAAGGCGGTTTTTTAGTCGAGTGCATCTGATAGGGCAGTGGTTGCTAAAACCAAGATGAAAACACCAAATGCAGTAATTTTGTCACATTCATTAGATAAGAGGAGGCTGATCAAGGTGGACGTACTAAGATCTGGTCTAGTTGACTGCAAGGGAGAGGTTGCCACAAATTTTCTTTAAACAATTGGATTTAATCTCAACCAGTTAAAATTGCACAGGATCAGCACTTCTGTAGCAGTGATAAAAGTTCAAGTTTCCTCAACTGCAGAAAAAGTAACAGATGGAGGCCTGTAGATCCCCACTATGACAAAGGAATAATCTGTTTTAGGCCCCCTTTAAAGAATTCAAAGCATTTTTCTTTAGAGACTGCATTTGGAATTTTAGCTTGTCTATTATGTCTTATGTAGATAGCAACTCCACCACCCCTCTTTTTCTGTCAATTCTATATGAACTATATTCATCAACAAAACAGTTGAAGCCAGTAAGAGTTTCAACTCACCTTGTTTTCCTTACCACAACCTCTTAACATTAAAATCTAAAAAAAATTTTTACTGGAGATTTCTATTGCATCCACTATGTTTATATAAATGAACTCACCTTCTGTCCTGACACCACTTGTTAGAGTGTGAGTTGATGCTGCTGAAGAGAAAGAAGGGAGATTTTTTAAATTATGCCTGGACCCTTTCTGTTTTTAAAACATAAGATTTCTCCTCTGTCCCCAGCTCTGATCCTGACAATCTTGTAGCTCTGTCTGGTATCTGTAAGTGCTCTCCCATGAAACCAGGTGTAAATCACAATCATGTTGCTTAAACTATAGCATATCAGAGTGACTGAACTGCCCTCCACTATTTCACCAGAAGGACTAACAGTCATTGAGACATTAGTTGGATCTAGAAGTAAAAATTACAGATAATTCATGGAACTTGTGAGTTTACACAGTAAGTATGCTGCTTAATGTGAATATATCAACAAAACCTTTGAAAATATTTTCTGATATAGGAACTAGTAAGAATTTCAACTCACCTTGTTTTACTTAGCACAAACTCATAACATTAAAATCTAAAAGATTTTTCACTGGATATTTCTATTGCACCTATGCAACTATGCAACTAATCTATTACAACCATGTCTATTTAAATGAACTCTCCTTCTGTGCAGCTTGTGCTGACAGCAGGTGTTAGAGGTTGAATTGATGCTGCTGAGGAGAAAGAAGGGAGATTTTTCAATGCATCAATGTATTATTACATTTTAATTTAGATTTAATAATATAAGTAGAAGAAGAAGCAGAAGAAGAAAAAGATATCTCAAGAACAGTGCATAGAGAGCTTCATGGAATGGGTTTCCATGGCTGAGCAGCTGCATCCAAGCCTTACATCACCAAGCACAATGCAAAGCGTCAAATGCAGTGGTGTAAAGCGCCACCACTGGACTCTAGAGCAGTGGAGACGTGTTCTCTGGAGTGACGAATCATGCTTCTCTGTCTGGCAATCTGATGGACAAGTCTGGGTTTGGCAGTTGCCAGGAGAACGGTACTTGTCTGACTGCATTGTGCCAAGTGTAAAGTTTGGTGGAGGGGGGATTATGGTGTGGGGTTGTTTTTCAGGAGTTGGGCTCGGCCCCTTAGTTCCAGTGAAAGGACCTCTTAATGCTTCAGCAGACCAAGAGACTTTGGACAATTTCATGCTCCCAACTTTGTGGGAACAGTTTGGGGAGTTTGGCCCCTTCCTGTTCCAACATGACTGCGCACCAATGCACAAAGCAAGGTCCATAAAGACATGGATGAGCGAGTTTGGTGTGGAAGAACTTGACTGGCCTGCCCAGTCCTGACCTCAACCTGATACAACACCTTTGGGATGAATTAGAGCGGAGACTGCGAGCCAGGCCTTCTCGTCCAACATCAGTGTCTGACCTCACAAATGCGCTTCTGGAGGAATCGTCAAAAATTCCCATGAACACACTCCTAAACCTTGTGGAAAGCCTTTCCAGAAGAGTTGAAGCTGTTATAGCTGCAAAGAGTGGGCCAACATCATATTAAACTCTGTGGATTAAGAATATATATAATATGCGTGTGAAGGCAGATGAGCGAATACTTTTGGCAATATAGTGTATATGGAATGATAGACAGAAATGAGGATGACTAAGAAAACTGTATAATATCAAGAATTATGTTTTTATAAAAAATAATATCCACAATAACTCATATTTAGACAGTGATGAGCAAATCTTGAGGCAGACACTACTGAAAATAGAAAATTGCATTATGTCATCTATCATTTAATAGCTTCTTAATTATGTGGCATCTGCCAAGGGCCCAATGCCATGAGGACCTCAAGGGGTGCAGCCATGCAAAGTGGCAGTGGAGCATGTCACACACCTGGGTAAGAAGGGCACTCATTGTTGCTGTTGTTGCTGATGTGTTGCTGTTATTAGTGTAGTTGTGTTGCTTAGAGTAAACTGTGCCTTAGCAGTTAAGTAGTAGTTAGAAGTGTCTACCCTCCTTGATTGTAATGTCCTACCGCATTACCCCTCACCTGTGCTTCGTGGTGGGGTAAGCGCTGGGTGGGGCATTTCTTGCTGGCGTGCCTGTTCTAAATCAAAGAGCAGTCACCTCTACGCACTATGTTTACTGTATCTTCTTCTGAGCCAACACATTACATTAGACTACATTAGTGTCAGAAGTGGGATATGACCACCAAGCTGAAAGAAATTGAGCTGCACATCAATGAACTGGAAGGCGGATGGTGAAAAAGACAGAACCCAGTGGACGGGGATACCAAGTGTTATGCCTGCCCCGGACAGGTCCAGCCAGCCAAGAGAAAGACGGCTGGCTTGGGAAGACGGTGAAGCAAACAGTGCGGCAAAGCTCAACAGCAGAGCCCAGCTGGAGCTGATGGAGTTTTAGTGGACTTTCCAACACCTTTGTGGCAAATGGTTTTGACTACAGCTAGAGATGAAATTCTACTTCAACAACCAACAGTCCATTGGCTGAGATTGATCTGCACAACAACTTCATGACATGAAAAACTGGTTAGTGATATTCAAGGAGTTAAGTACCGGTTATCTATTTTGGGGTCATGAACTGGGACTGGAAAAGGTCAACCAAGGGCTTACTGTTTTTTTGGAGCACCTGGTACAGTAAGCCTGATGGCTTTCTTAACCAGGGTTATCCAGATTAACTGTGCCCACTGCTGCTATTATTTCTTCTTGCCCCTTGTGAAGCTCACCAGACTCATGATTGAATTTCTAAAAGCTGCCATAATTTTGGCAGCATGCATTTCACTGCCTGTATGACACCCGATTCACAAACATTGACTACTTGAGGAGGGAATGATGGATTTGATTTTTGGATTGGATTTAATTTGGATTTGATTTCACTTTATTACCTTACTTTTACTTTATTACTTTACTTTCTGTGAGTTTTACCTCTGAACGATATTTTGGTATATTACTCAAATATTTATAGTTATTTATAGTTTATAGTTAGTATTATGTCACAGAGTGTAATAGTCACTTAACTATTAGTTTAACATTCATTTAACAACCATTTATAGGGATTGTGCCTAAAGCCACGAAAAAGGGGGATTGATGGCTGAGTTGAATAAATATCTTATTAATCAGCAGGTTAGATATTGATGAAAAGGAGAAATATTAGATTAAGAAGAGTTACATAAGCGTATGGAATTGCTTTAAAAGGGAAAGCAGTTGGATAAGGCTGAGTAAGAGCTATATAACCATGTTATATGGGATGTCTTTTAAAGGGAAGGCAGTTGGATAAGGCTCTTTTTTTAAAAACCTAATATAGGATGCATTTGCACCTAGGAGGACCAAAAGTAATAATACTAAACACTACATGGCTAAACAAGGTAAGGGAGTTACCTTATCTCCCCCAACCTCCCCCAAAAAAGGGTATTTAAGCTGTTTTAAATGCTGTCTGTGCTTTGGTTGTCCGGAGACCTCTGCCATTAAAATGCTTTGAGCTATGTTTGAATGAAGGTTGAAGCCTTTTCCTCTCTCTACCAACTCAGAATGTGAAGTCTTTTTATTTTGCTTGATTCTTTTTGACAATTTAAACTAAGAATAATTACACGTGTAAGCAATCGTTAGAGATTTAACAACAAAATCAAACATAGAAGTGGGACAGAAACCAAAACAACCGAGCTGAACAAAGTTTACAAAAAAGACAGAAAGATGATGGTGAATGTATGAAGCTGAAGCTGACTTTTCCCCCCAGCGGCTTCTTAGTCGAATTTTACTTTCCACCTTAAATGGTGCAGCTGTAACATTCCGGCACCTCACTAGCCACGTTTACATGCAGCCTGATAATCCATTAATAATCCGACTAATAGCTCAATCGGAATAGAATACGTCCATGTAAACACCTTAATCGGAATAGACTAGTCCGATTGAGCCTATTCGGAATACAATTTCTATCTGATTAAACGAGGTGAGTAAACTTCTAAATAATCCGTTAAATAGAAAAGTAATATCCCTGTAAACGCCTGTATCTGATTACATTCCAATCAGAAAGTTTAAGTCCGTTCTGATCATGTGCGTCGCGTCATGGCGAAAGTTTATAACGTTCAACATAAGTTTATAACATTTATAACGTTCTTATTAAAGAAGGCCGAGAGGAAGAAGTCGTGTTCTGAGACACATAAGCTGGACGTCCGTCCCACCGCCGTCTTTTAAAGATCGGAGCAGAAACTGGTCTGCAGGGGAGACAAAGTTTATGCTCTGATCTTTAAAAGACGGCGGTGGGATGGACGTCCAGCTTATGTGTCTCAGAACACGACTTCTTCCTCTCGGCCTTCTTTAATAAGGACATGTGAAGGATGTTTACCTGTGTCTGACATCATTTTAAAGCAATTACAACACAAGCACTGCTCACTGCTGCTCATCTCACTCTGACTGGACTCACGTGATGTTCGCTGTCATGGTAACGTTTACTCTAAGCGCTACTCCACGCATGCGCAACATTTTGCATCGGATTACTTGTAGTGAGCATGCAAACGAAGATTTTCCATCAAATCGTTGAATAGAGTGTGCATATAAACACCTCAGTCTGAATCTGTAATCGGATTGTATTCAATCGGATTGGCAAAAATCTTTGCATGTAAACACAGCCACTGCTGCACCATTTAAGGTGGAACGACAAATTCCAGTACGAAGCTGGCAAAGAAGAAGTCAAAGTTTCGTGGTGAATGTGGCGCTTGTCAGTCAAACAGTGAGAGCTGTGTTTCTTTTGTTCTTTTGTCCTGCTATCATGAGGAAAATGGTCAGTTGCCTGGTGAGTTTCTCCAGTAAGAGCGGAGTTTAAGTGCTGAACGCGCATTGATGCTGTTGATGCTTTGCAGATCGACTGACAACCACATGAAAAATAATCGACTGTGTAGCAGTCTGCAGTCAGACTCTCTCTACGTTCCTTCTACTTTTTCGAGTCTTTCCGAGTCTTAAGGCTGAAGTCCGAGTCAGTCACTGGTGTTGTAGTCAAAGTTGAGTTGCAAGTCATCAAATTTGTTACTCGAGTAACAAACACACCTCCTGGATACCTCTCAAGTTAAACCAGTACGTTTCAGAAGTGTAGAGAACATGACGTGTAAAGGGATACTCTGGCCAAAATAATAAAAAAAAATAATCATGACTCTGCATGCAGCAGTGTTGCAGTACTCTCTAGAGTAAGAGTTTCCGGTTTTAAGACTAAGAAAACCCCTTTCTGATGATGTATCTTGGAGGTGAGACAAAGTTCTGAAAAACTTTCTGGCTGAATTTTTGGGGTCGAACTGTTATGTTTTTTTTTTTTCATTTTATCTGGTGAGTGTGGAAAGAAGGCTGATAGCTTGCATTACTGCCAGGATGACCCCCTCTCTCTCACACACTCACACACACACACACACACACACACACACACACACACTTATGGTGAAATTACAGTAGATAAAAATACCTAGAGTGACTTACTGCTTGATTCAGATTCTGTAATGTCAGATGTTGTTATATGAGACCTGCAGAGACAAGGATAGTACATAAGTCAGTGGAGAAAGAAATACTGTGGTTACTGATACATTGTCCTAAAAGTGAACTCAAAACATGGTGAAAGGTGTGTCTTCTGAGGTGTAAGTGAATGATCCACTATTGTCACCATCATCAGTATAAAGTTGATTTTACATTTGTGACCCGAACACTTAGCAGGACCTTCTTTTCGAGCCTGTGCGTGTGACTTTCACATAAAGACATCTTTTCAGTCATGTAATTTTAACACTATAGAGTCTGGACAGTAGAAACACCTCAAGCTGAGCACAGCCATTGGCTCACGAGCCGCTGATTGCTGACATTTTATTGTATCCATAAACATTTGAATTAGGGCATGCGTCATATAAGTGATATGTAAATCAGGTACAGGTAGATGATGCTTGATTTTGAGCACTGAAGTTGCTTATTCATTTGTGCTTCAACCTCCACCTCTTTCCACGTCGAACAAACGTTTTATGAATGAGGTCACAGAGTAGTTTGTACATAATTAAAGGCAGTCAAATCTGCACTTTTTTCAGCAACTTTGAATAAGGCATATATGTTTTTTTCTTTTTTTTTCTTTGTTGATTTCTATGTACTTTTGTAACACTGAGATTGTATGAATGTTAGCATATTCTCAAAGTAGTTGTTAAATGACAAAAAAACATTGTGCTGAATACAATTTTGCATCATAATTTAGGGACTGCAGAATTGGGTGGCAAGCAGGGTGGAGAGGCACCCCCTGCCACCCTGTCAATCCGGTTCTTTCCTGTCAGAGGTCTCTGATGACTCTCAGACAACATAGACAGTTTTTTTCACTTCCTCTAGCAGGCTTTTGGATCCCTTGAGATATCTTTCTAGCTATGTCTTTGAAGGATATATATGTTTACATTTTTTTATGATGATTTCACCAAAAGAAAAAAAAAAACAACACTGATAAAATAATTTATGGTCGACAGAAACTTACGTGCTATTTTCCCAGTACCAGTGGTACGCTGCAAGCTGAGCTATTTGATCGGTCAGGTTGGAGGAAGAAAGAAATAAATTAGCACTGACTCACCAGTGAGAACACACCATCAAACATGTAAATCTATCAATACGCCTACTGATATGCTTATGTTTATACAGGAAAAAAAAAATAATGCATTGTTGTTGAAGTGATGATGTGTCAGCAGAGCCTTACCTGGCATCATGAGCAAAAGAACCAGAGATAGAGGATGAACCATTTCACTTATACTGTTGTAAAGTTTGAAAAAAAGAGGTAAAGAGAGCATTTATTTTCTGACTTTCCATGGAAACACAGTGGTACTGGGGCCCCTGGGCGTAAACGTCTTTGGAGGCCCCCCACACCATAACAACAATTCCCCCCCAAAAAAATTACTAACAAATAAAATCTAGACCTGAAAAATAATGTCAGTCAACTGTTTGTGTTTATCTGCACTTTCAACAACATTGGGAAATAAATGTAAACAAACTAAATTATTAATCCTCAATTACTGTGCAGTATTTTATTATTTCATCCCCATTTATACATTACATGGCCAATATGTGGAAACCTGACCATCACACTAAATGAGCTTGTTGGACATCTTTGCAGCTACAACAGCCTCCACTTCTCTGGGAATGTTTTCCGCAAGAGTGCTTGTGTGGGAATTTGTGCCCATTTAGTCAAAAAAACATTTGAGAGGTCAGGTGCTGATGTTGGACAAGAAGAACTGGCTCGCAGTTGACGTTCCAATTCAACCCAAAGTGCATTATCGATTGATGTGAAGTTAAGATTAGGGCTCTGTGCAGGCCACTGGAGTTCCTACACACCAAACTCATCAAACCACAAAACACACACACAAAAATGTTGTTTTAACTTTAAAAAGTAAGGATTTGAGCTGCCTTAAAATTTTTAGTTCATTGAATTTCAAATAGTGAGTTAAAGGAACAAGAATCTGTTTTATGCTTTATCAACTTACTGTTTGAAGTTCACTATTCATAAAAAAACAAGTTGGAAGTTAACTATTCATAAAAAAAAAAAAAGCATATGTCCTGTTGGATTCGTCTTGTGGGAATGAAAATAAGTTCTTGTGATCCAGTGCACCAAGACTGACAGTTTTCCAAATAAAAGTCTCTTAGAAAATCGTTTTGTTTTTTTTTGGTGATTATACAAAGTTTGATAAAGCCAATTAACCAATTAATCACTCAGTTTTCATGTTATTTTCTCAAAATTGATAGAGAATCTGTTTAGCTGTAAACAATTACCAAAAAAAAAAAATACTTTTTTGCACATGAATCAGTCAAGTGCGGCCTGGGTTATTCTAACTCAATGGCCTATACTTATATCAAGGATTACTCAATTGTGACCAAACTTGAAATAAACATAAACTGAAAACATTTGCTAATTTAATTCCTAATAAAATTTACCAAGAATAAAATAATTGAAAATTGGGATAAAAAATACCAAAATGGTTCTTGACTGAAGGTGTGGGGTTCAAAGCCAATGTCAGTTGTCACTGAGCAACATCAACAGCCTCAATGTTCTGAGCTGTAAGTCATAAACGTATATTTAGGGGTCAAAGCATGTAGGTGGTGGAACTGCATTGGAATTGCTAGGATTTTTCTTTTTTTTCTTTCAGTTTCTGTTAATTAAAAGCATTTAGCAGCTACTACTGAACATTTGGCAGCTCATCCTGCCACAACATTACATACATTAGCTATTTAACTATGTACAACTGGTAATTACCTTACAATTCAACTCATTTTTTTTAAAAAGTGCAACATGCTTCTGAAAACCATTCATAAATTACATTTATCATGCACTGACCTGTTATGCTTATGTGGACATTGGCTAATGCTTAAAATTGTTTTTAAAGATAATTTTTTATATGCAGAGCCAAAAATCTCAGTTTAGAGATTATATATTTTTTTACATGTATAGAATTTTATTCCCAGTCTTATTCTGAAGAACATTATGGAAAGATTTCTAAATATATCACTAAAAGTTATTCTCAATGCTAAAATTATCTCAAAAATAATAATGCATAGTGTTGATTAAACAATAAAACAATGAGATGCCAACAATAATTTTAAATATAACATCACTGGATAGACTGATAGATTTATGCATGTTCAATTTGCAAAACATTTTTTTTCAGAATATCAGTAGTCAGTAATAGGCAAGGATTAGTTTTAATATCTGTTCTTAAAAAATTGTTTTGCCTTGAACTAAGATAAAATCTCTTACCTTATTAAGACCCCAACACGTACAGCAAATGATGAGTTCCTGGAAATGCTGAGCTTTTTTAATGCGTTGAGGCCACACGTGGCTAACGTCTTTATTACACGTGACTGTCCGAATTATGCAGTCATTCTACGGTAATAGAACAATATATGTCCTTTATATTAGGACAACAGTTTAACAGTAAAACTTTGTATATTTTGAAAAACAAATATTGTTTACAAATGAAAGTTAAGATCAGCTTACATTCATAATGAAAAATATATTTTTTTAGACTATTGCATTTAGAGATATTTAGAGATTTTTTTCTGTGTGTCTATTGGGCTCCCTAATAACAATGAGGCATCATTTTGTTACTCTTAAGACAATAATTTCTTTATTATATACTTGTTGTGACATTTATTACTGCCGTAGAAATGGCAGTAATAAAATCAGCCTTCTTGTTTTTAGATTGAGGTTTTGTATAGCACAGTGGCTCTGTCCTCACCTCTGTCCTCAACCCAGCAGAATGGGGTTTGATCCCCCCCAGGTTACATCATGCTGTACCAATAAGCTGACATCATTGGAAAATTCTGATTATGACAGGGATGTCTTTCAAAATGAAATAAACAAATGCAGTGAAAGAGGCTCCGCTAACACAGCAAAGTGTTACTGACTCTGTGACAGTCAGACTCAAAGTTACTGGTCACTTCAAACTATTCGGCAAAATCCCACCAGACCTACACTGCGTGATTTTTGGCGTTTTTAAACACACACTCACAATTTGCTACCTTCACTTGCAAAAATGAAAAATGAGACTATTTTCTATGCCCACCCTAATTTTTTTTGTTTCTTTGCTTGCGCGTTCTCAAAGCTTGCGCAGTCTCAAAGCTGACCAGCCATGCTTAATCGTCCAAAGCAGCACTGACGACAGCTTGGTTTCCCAAAAGCTTTGTAGTATTCACATCATCTCAACTGATAGAGAGAGTTTTTAAAGTAATGCTTGCCCTACTTTTTAACGATTATTGAGATGCTTTCAGGAAACCCAGGCCAGAGTTAGATGTGAACTATGTAACTGTAGCTCATCTGAAACATTTTGCACAACTGTACAAACTGTACAAATGTTCATACATTCCCATAATATACTGTAAATGACTATTTTCTCAGACCCTGCACATATGTACGCATTCCCATATATTCACATATTTATCTCTTTAGCTCCTTTCACATTAGCTCTTTTAAGACTACTCTCTTGTTCTCTTTTATTATTTTTATTTGTTATTTTAATTTATATTTATCTTAGTAACAGTTTTATTCTAACATTAACATTTGTTAATAGTTGTCTCGTCTGTTCAGGTATGTCAAACGTGTGCACTCACCAGGACGAAGTGCAGTGCTGGGCCTGTGTATAATTAAGAAAGAGGAATATTAAGGTCATTTTCTCCAAAACACAGTAGTGTTTGTAGTACACAAACTGATTTCTGCAAACATGAGAGGCTCATTAGGCTGCATTAAAAAGCATCTCTGATGTTAATGGAAATGCCCATGGTTCAACCCACTGCTAATCTAAAAGGTCAAGCTGAACATAGTAAAGGTTTAGGCTTCACTAAGGGCTTAGCAATTACTTCAGGGGTTAAGAATGTACTGCAAACATGCTGGTCTCATTTCCTCTGTTTTGTGGTCAGGCCACACACTCTGAATTTAGAATCTGTCAGTTGGCTTGAGTTTTTGCTCAAAGAAATGTTCTTTGACTTCCGTTATGAAAAAGCCTCACTGAAGGGCCCAGACAAACACACAACAAATTCTCTGACCACTGAACTACCACAAATCCACAATGCACAAAGAGCTGATACCGTGACACACTGATGAAAAAAGTGATTTTAAGCTTTTAAAGATGGTATATTCTACAACCTTTTCTAACATTTTATTCTTTTTGGAAATATTTGTGTGATTTTATGTTCCTAAAACAGTCATAATTCATTATTACATGACAATTTTCCGACCACTCTTTATCCCTTAGAATTTAACAGGCTATTTTGTGCACTTATATGGTAAGTGTACCTGATAAAATGGCCAATGAAAGTAGGTATAATTAGGTAATAATGCATCATAACGTGCATGTGCTAAAATCACTCTGATATGGTTTAGCTTTATAAAAAACTCTTCACTCTTCACTCTTACTGCTCCCTCTCACATTAAGAAACCAAGCATGATTTATGTGCATTTTTTTTACCACATATCTATTGCGATGACCCCAAAGAAGAGGCAGCATCATAAAGCATTCTGGAAAATGTGCAATGTTCTTTTATTGGTATACTTATACCTAGAGCACTGGCTTTGCCTCTAGATGGTTGAGCCGAGGACTGAACACCCGGATCTAAACAACGTGGAGTGAAAAATCACTTACATTTCATGTACTCGTAAAACTAAATAATGTCAACAAAACTCACTGACTGGTTCCAATACAGCACATACAACATGATTGCAGAATACCATAAATAGTAAACACCCCCAGTTACTGAGGAACAGCTATACACAGCACAGCAGCCCCTGAGAGGGCTCATGGGTGATATGCAAATGAACTAGAGAACATAAAGAACAGAAAGCCACAACCATATGTATATGTGTCTGTGTGTGTGTGTGAGTGTGTGTGTGTGTGTGTGTGTGTGTGTGTGTGTGTGTGTGTTTTTAAAGATGTCATCTTTTTTTCCATATTGTGGAATATTTGAAACACCCATTTTTATTTTTCGGCCTTAAAAAAGATTTCTAGCTAGCTAATATAATTGATAGTGACAACCCTCCATTTCCATTACCTTTAAACTCTCCCTCAGTCCATTTTTAACTTTTAAAATGGTGGGTGTTTCATTTTGCTTGACACACATCTGGTTTTATCAAGACAGTAATATTAATACATTCAGTTACTCTAGCATTCAATATCTCAAGTATTATATAAAGGAAGAATGTGTGAGGGAGAGGACAGGAAAAGAACAGCACAGATGTGGACAGACATGCATTAACTGCAGGTTATGTTATGGTGCAGAAGTTAAGAAGCTCATTGAATATGAGCCAGAAATTGCAAACGTAAAAAAAGCAAACATTATCTGCATATTGTTTAGTTCTCAATTGAACTCTTGTAGTTTGCTTCTAATATCTTCATCTCTGCTCTAATATCTGTCCAACATGGCAGGTTTTACTTTTTTTTTAATTATTATTTTATCCCATCCTCTAAAATCAACTCAAATAAATTCTCTTCCCAAGTTGGCTGTTCTTGTACTCTTAAGTATATTTATTACCTTTTTTTATTAGTTTGCTATAATTTTGAATCAGTACTGTTTCTTAACACCCCAGGAACATCGACAATGTCAAAGACATTCTGCCACGTTTTTTTAACTTCTGTTTTTGTATTTTGTATTTATTTTTGTTACATTTCCCTGATATAAAAACAGCATATTGCACAGCTAGTTGAGGACTGTCAAATATTCCTCAGCTCTTTTCCTGGTGGACAGGCTTGGAAAATTATGTAACTTTGTGAAACACTCCTCTGGTCACCAGCTAAACCAGCATATCTTTGCTGTCATGAAAAAATCTTTTGTTGTTTTTGTACTTTATTGCTTAATTTTAAACCTCTAGTTACTCTTTGCATTGCTTGAAGACTGGACCAGCAGAAAGGGTCCAAAATAACTTATTAAAAAAGCTTGCGACAGCAACTTCCTTTACAAGTTATGAATGGTTTTCCTTCTCCTGTGAACTTACCGTTTTATGTTCCGACAGGGTTTTTTTATGTCCCTGCATGGTCTGGCACCTTCTCACCTTCACGCTCTCTGCTGTCCTCTGTTATCCAACTGCTTTCTGTCCCATCGTCCAGGTTATGCGCTTGAACTAGGGCTTTTAGCATTGCAGGCCCAAATCTCTGGAACACTGTCTCTCTATTGTCCTCTATGCTTGTACCTCTTGTATATTCAAAAATAGTTGAAAACCTCTTTCAGATTGCTTTCACTCATACTTACCATTTTTCTTATTTCTTTATCTTAATATTCTGTGTATGTCTTGAAATAAAATTATATTATTACATAGACCAGAATGGAATTCAGCAAGGTTTGGATCGTGCAGAATGCGGAATCCAGACACAGCTGTTATTAACTTGTTCATGTGACCACTTCACAGGTCCTACTCACACTGCTTGATATTCTACAATCCCTTGCGCATTTATTCACTACTCCCTGTTAAAAATGAATAAGGGCAAAATTTCAATTACAAATGACAATTTTGTGTGCTGGGTGTTGTACAAGCACTTTCCACCTATAGAATAAATGGACGCTCACTAAAACACAAGCAGAGCAACGTTTCATAATTCAAGATGATTGTAACTGTATGTGGGTTGTTGTATTATCATATTAGCCTCTTTAGCATCATTGTCTTGTCTGACAAAGGGTTTCTAGTGGCCATTCCCTCCACCTGCTGCTATGCTCTTTCTCTGTAATGTCCAAACTCCACTGTCAGGACTTAATGTTCATGGCAGCACAGAATCAGCTGACTTTAATCCTTTGACAGGGGCACTTTAACCTGCTTGGGGCCTGGGGCTAAAGGTGGTCTTGGGCCCTATGTATGGCATCAAATCCAATAAAAAATTTGCAAGCGAGGAAGACCGTACTCGTGCACACAAAAGAGAAGCGCTCCATAGCCTGACACTCAGCTGTTCTTTCTGCTCGCTATTGAGCTTCTGGTCCGCAAGAGTTTAATTTGTTTTTGACAGCTGTGGGCGGGTCCCGACATGTGATTGGTTTTTACTGATTTCTGGAACTGTGTTGTGATTGGCTGGCTGTCAGTTGTTGTCAGAGATTTGGCTGCATATAAAAAACAGGGAACAGGACTTTTACTCTAGAAGATGACCTTCAGAGTTCACCAGTACAATGGCATTAGCCAAAACGCTGCCTGTAATTACTGAATTCTGTCTTTGGGAATGTTCAGTAATCATGATTAATCACTGTCAGCCAGTCTGAAACCATTTTATTACATTATTCTAATATTACATTAGATT